AGGACCTCAAGATTGTGTTTTTAAGCTGCCGCTGTGACTCAGGAAAGGAATCTCACTTGGACTTCCCTTGTCAATTCCACTTTCTTCACTTTTTGTCAGGCACCAATTCTCTATCCCACAGAGGCTGCCTTGGTTCCTGCCCTTAACACCCCTCTCCTGAAATACTGCCTGAATCTTAATTAATTGGTGTACCTGATGGCAGGCTTCAAGCTGCCTTTCATACTCCCTAGCAGGGCGCTGTAAAAGGAAATCTGATCACATCATTCCCGGGCTTAGGGCCTTTCTGTGGTTTTCCTCTATTCGCAAAAGCCTAATTATGTCATGTCATAAACTCCTGGATGATCCAACCCCGTCTAGCCTCCTCTCTATGCCTGTGTGTCTCTGCCCCATTTCTCTAGCACTCTCCCCAAACACACAGGCACCCTTGTCCCCCACATCAACCATACTGATCCACAAGCAGTTTCCTTAACATGCCACAGTGTTTTCATTCTCCTTTGCTCACACAACTGCCCTACCTAGCTGAAAGACCCATTTCCTACGGCAGCCCTCCTTTCCCTCATTATTTATGCTTAGAACTTACAGCTCCAGTTCTATGCACTTTGTTTACCACCTATTTGCCACATTGTCCCTTGTATGTACCTCTAGTCCTCCAACACTTGTGAAACAAATTTGATGCCATATGACTCTCTCCATTAGCCTGTAAGCTTCTGTAAGCACTTGGCTCAAATGCATCTGGAGCCACAGCTCTCAGCCCATAGTGTGTGTTCAAATGCTAGAAGCCTTGTAGCCGAATCTTGGGAACCACTACACCATTCTATACGTGTACAGATTTGCTACCTAGCGGCTGCCTGACCTTGAAGAAATTGGTCTCCATTTCTCAATTTCTTCCACAACAAAACACCCATAATAAAAACCTACTTCATAGGATTGCGGTGAGAATTAAATGACAATGCAAATAAAGAGGTTAGAGATCATAGTACCTCACAAAGAGCATTCAAGTGAAGCTGTTGCTAATTACCATAAACCTTTTAGTAGTATAAGGACATATATCTTAGTGTGTAAAGAATTTATGCAAACTTCTAAGAACTACAGAAGATTTTATGGTGAATTGGACTGACCAATTGGGTTAAAAACAAAGCGGGGTGGTGGGGGGCGGTGGTATGAGCTTGGCATAGGGCCTCATATTGGGGACAGCTCTCACCACTGAGAACTTTATCATAATCCAAATGGAAAACATGACTGTACCAAGCCTAACCTTAAAATGGGCACACAGAAAAAAGGAAACACTCTGGAGAATAGAACACAGTGTTTTTCTGGGAACAGTTAACTCCTTCTTGAAGAAGCTGAAATAAGTAAGAGAATGTGGTTGTTCTACTCCATAAAAAGATGGCTTGTGGTGAGTCTTCCATTTACAGAGTTCTTACTGGGCCCTGAAAGTTAAAGAGCTGTAATTTTCTAGTATATCAGAAGTCCATTATTTTTAGATATTAAAATCACAATGATTTTCTGCCATTGTTAACTATCCTATTGTTGATTTAAATAATAGCATGATTGTCACAGAAAAGAACTAATATACACTTTCTTTAAAAAGCCTATATAGTCTGGTGTTAAAAGACACAAAGGTATATAATTGTCATATATTATATTATGGGTTTCGTCCATTATAGCTGTGTCCTACAAAGGTTCTCTTAAAAAGTTGGTCACCCTAGACTAGGAATAGATTCAGATTTTAGAGAATCTACTTCACTGATGTTCAATGGCTGAACATTTTCAAAAGACTGGTTTTGTAAAAAAATGTTCTGATGGTAAGATGATTCAGTTTTACTGGTTCTCTTATTCCAAAAAAGCTTTGTCTCTATTTTGTGTTCATGAGTATTTTTTTGGTAGTAATTCAACAGAATAACATGTTTGCAAGTAAAAAAAAATTCAAAGATTGGAAGAATATAAACAGAATTTGTGAGCACTAAGACTCAATACTGCATCATGTTTTCTAAAACAAGGGTTTAAAAATACTCAGACTGATAGTTTACTAGGTGATGGTTAACGAGAGCAATAAAATTAGAGACATAAGAAAGAAAGAATATTTTGCCAGCGATTTGAGATGTTGTTATGCTTTGTGCAAAAAATAATCTGTCTCTTAGAGGATCACAAGCAAGTGTTGAATCCCTAGAATTTTCCCAGACTTCAATGAATTTATAGCTTATGATAATGTTGACATAGCTGATCATAGAAAGTGATCTGTGCCTTATGTGTGTAATAGAATTTAAAAGGAATTTATGTCAGTAGGAAATCTTGTTAGACCTGAAATACCATTGAGAATATAAGGAAAAACTCTTCCTTACTTTGGGATTGTAAAACAGATGCAACCCATTATGAACAATTATATGTCAGATTATAAATTATATTCTCATTTAGAGTGTTGTCATAACAATATAAGAAATATTTCACTTTATTGAAGTAAAAATAAAAATCTTTACGTGGCCAAGCTTAGGAAATCATTAACTGGAAAAAGATGATATTGACATACAGGCTTGTGGCTAGAAAAATGATAACCAAACAACTACGACTGTTATATTAAAGGGTAGAGGCTGTCATTTCCTTCCCCCAAATAATTATCCCATGTTTATGCCCTGTTCTGCTCATAATTTCATATGCAAAACTTCTGCATCTATGAATTCAAATATAAAACCATTTAAAATATTTTATAAAGGACTTAAAAATTTTTGCAAAAATCAATGAGCAGATGGGCTATTCTCATGTCTGTTCTAAAAACATTCTAAACACAGAAAGATACCCAATGGATCTGTAACATCTTTCTATGTTGACAGACAGTAACTGCACCAGTTGAGGGGAGGATTTAATAATGTTAGTGACTGTTGAATCACTGTGTTGTATACTCGAAACCAATGTAATATTGTATATTGACTATACTTCAATATTAATTGTATATTATATATTGACTATACTTCCCCAAGGCACTTCTTCAGGAGGCATATCCTGCTACCACATTGACCTATTAATGCTTACTCAATACTAAATTGTGCTCTCTCTCTTCTATGTTGGTATAGAGGGGTCTTTTGTTGGCAGGATTGTTTTGTCCTTCCAACAAAATAAAGGAGTTTCTTGGTCACCAATATATATACAAATATATATATATCAGTACCTCTCAGATATTTTCTAATCAGTAATCCCTAAATGTCCAAAGAAAGCAAGCCCCTATCCTGAAGTTAGAGCACAAAGCTGTGTCTCCTGTTTTATTAAATGTATACGGATTTTCTATTCTACTCCATATCCCATGCCTATTTTGATATATTAAAATATAGTAAAATATATGAACATGTAAGAAATAAATATTTTATATAAAAATCGCTCAAGTTTCTTACTGTTGGGGATTGAGTTTGTTCTCCTCTGTTCTTGTCCCCAGTGCAACAAAGAATTGAAGGGCAGAGATACGGTAGTGAAGCAGAACAAAAGTTTTATTCGAATACACTCCAAAGGTGGAGTGGGCTAGAGTCAAGGTAGGTAAAAGTAGGTTTATTTGACTACACTCCAAGGGAGGAGTGGGCCAGAGTCAAGGGAGATAAAGGTAGGCTGCTTATTTTGAGGCTTCTTTTTATGGGGTTTTTGGCAAGGCAGAGAAGTCCTTGATTGACATTCTTTGGCCTCGGGGGCTTGATCCGATTGGTGGATTGAAGACACGGGCTGCTCTGACATTTTTTTATCTGGGGAATTTTTGCCATCTGTGGAGTGCCTGTGCCCTTCAAGTCGCTCTCAGTCCCTTTGGCTTCATTTAATTAGTCCTCAGGGTTATCTCTGACTCTGGTCTGGGGCCTTATCTGATTAACTCCCTCAGTTCTTGGTGAGCCCCACCCTCTTTTCATCCAGCTCAATCTTTCTGCCTGACATTACCATTTAGCAACTGAGGTTCCTGGAAGATCAAGTTTATATACACTAAGACTTGGTGTAGGCGGTGGCACATTGACTATCATACTCCTGAATATCTCACAGGGAATAAACTCATGTCTTGGGTTTTCAGCCCAAAACTTCTGTTTTCTCATTTTAGATTCTATTCCATACTTAATATAAAAAAAACCTGACATGTTTTTATCTTGTGACATCAGGTACCCTTGGCATACTTCAAGGGTACCCAGCTTCAGAAGTAGTCTGTTTGGTTTAAGTTCATAAAATGTTGTTTCCTAAACTTGTAGAAACACTATAAAGAGAAGCGTGGAGCTTTGTAATGCATTTTAAAAAGCAAAGTAGGGCTAAGGGTGTTTCCAGGCATAGAGGAAGTCTCCATATCATCCTTGCAACTTTTCTGTAAATCTAAATCTCTTCTCAAATTAAAAGGCTATTTTTTAAAATTCCACCTTTAGCAACTGAGGAGCCAAGGCCAGTACATGGCTATGACTAGTAATATAATCTGAATGACACCAGTTCTTAAACTTCTTTCTTGTGCTTAAGCTACTGTAGTTTTCGGGTTCCAGTTTGTCTATTTTTGATAGTTTTCGTATCTTGACCCTGTTGGGAATAATGGGAAAAGCAGTATTGAGGCGTTCGCAAGGACCTGGGTAAACAGGTCTACAAAAGTGGCAGCAATGAAAGGGAAGAAACTGGAGAGGGTGGGAAAACCCTCGAATTCACTCACCTCTAGGCCTGCAATTCACTAATGCAAGAAAGTAATGGTTCAGTAGCTACAGGGCAAATAGATAAGGTCGGAAAGAAAGTCTAACAATAGACCCTAATCTGGTTGCTTCTCCACCAAAACAAAGGAAAATCATTAACTCCTCAGAATGTGGGGCCAAGCTATACTCCAGAGACTGGAAAGTTACTTAAGTGGGTCTTGGGCTCTTGCTCTCCTGCGGGTCTCGCCTTGGGGAGGGAACACTGCACTTGTAGAGAAGGCGGCCGAGCGGGCGACGGGGCGTACTGCGCACGCGCATCTCTCATGGGCGGTGTCTTTTTTTTTTTTCTCCCGGCAGGTGAGAGGGCCTCTCGCCCCGCCCGCCGCGCGGCCCACCCCCAGGGCGTTGCCATGGGGACCCTGCGGCCACAGGCCGCCTGTGGCAGCGCCGCCCGCCGGGTCACGTCTGTGGACCTGGCGGCGGCCACGGTGGGAACTCATGGAGCTTTCAAGAACCTCCGTGGTCAGGACCGAGAGGCGGCCGGGCCTGGGCCGTTGCAAGCATTTCTTTTGGCTGGGCGTCGTCTTCGACACGGTGGGTGCGACCGTGCTGTTCACCGGCGTCTTCGCCGACCTGCTCTTCAGCGACCTGCTGCTCTACCTGGGCTCCATCATCATCTTCCTCAGCCTCCTCTGGTGGATCTTCTGGTACACCGGCAACATCGAGCTGACTACTGAAGAGACCTTGAAGGGGCCCTTACGCGTGCCCACGGCCAGACCGTTGGAAGCCCTGAGCCAGACCGTCAGCCACCGCTTCTTCACCATCGGCAACGTTCCCACCACCCTCCTGCGGATGCGGCAGCAGCGCCGCCGCCGGCGGTTCCTTCAAAAGACTGCTTCACTGAGTATGACGGTCTCGGGCCAGGTGGAAAAACAGATGGAAAAGGAGGACCAGGACAGAAACGGAGTGAAGAGTGTCCAGGAGAGCGGTGACGCCCAAGAAATTTGCAGAGAGGGTCTGAGCCCCAAACCTGAAGCCGTCAAAAGTTCAGAGGGAATTCCCACCCCATGCCCTGGTGATTGTCCTCTGGGCCCTGAGGCTGGTCTGCCAATGTTTATTAAACGACAGTCAACACATTTGGTGCAGCCTGAATTCACGTCATCTTCTCTGGACCAGCCTCTGCATCCAGCCGTCCTCGTTTCTAAGAGTCAGCCTCTAGTTTCCTTGGCCTCTGGGAGCCAGTCTCCTCCCATCACTTGTGTTTCTACAGGTCAGTTTGCTGTTCCCTTATTCTCTAGGAGTCAGCCTCTGGACATCCTTATCTCCAAGACTGCAGTGTCCCCAGCCTCACAGAGCCACCTTGTGCCTGTGGCCCCTGTGAGCCACCCCTTGGTACCTGTGGCCTCTGAGAGCCACCTCTTGGTGCCTGTGGCCTCTGAAAGCCACCCCTTGGTACCTGTGGCCTCTCAGAGCCACCCCTTCATAACTGTGGCCTCTCAGAGCCACCTCGTGGTGCAAGTGGCCTCTCAGAGCCACCCCTTGGTGCCTGTGGCTACACAGAGCCAGCTCCAGAATCTTTCTCAGGCCTCTCAAACTCAGCTGCCACCTGTTCAGGCTTCCCAAGCCCAGGCTCTGGCCACCCCGCCTTCTGTGATCCATTTTCTGCCCACCCAATCTTTTCAGACCCAGTCTGTGAGCCCGTTCTTTCCTCCAGCTGTCCAGGACTTGCAGACTCTGCATCACACCCAAAAGACCTCCCGAAGCAGCTCTTTAGTCCAAGAGATTTCTCTCCGCCAGTCTTCATCTGCACAGGAATTTTACAAGAAGCCAATTGCTCAAGCTTTTGAGACACCAGCAGACCAGAAGCGAAGTCCTGAGGTCCCTGAGTCCCACGCTCCAGCTGCTCAGGCCCAACAGTCAGTGTCTCCCGAGAGTGCACCTCTCCCCCGCTCCGGAGAAGAGAGGTCGTCCTTTCTAGTGTAGAACCAGACACCAGCCATCTGAGTGCCGCTCAGGCCTATGCCACGTAAGTACCTTTGGAGGAATCTTTAGCTATAGTATTGCCCGAGTGTTTCCAGGTCTGGATTCCAGTGTTTTCTTTACCCCCTCAATTCAAAAAAAAATCTAGTGTTGATGAAGTGGTCTTTTCCCTCAGGGATTAGGATTAGATCTTTCGAACTTTGGTAGGTTTTTGAAACTAGTGCTTTCAGTGAATAAGTGCTGGTGAGGTTTTACCTCCTCTTCCAGACAGTGAGATCGGTTTCTTTTATTTAGGCTTAGTACAAGGAGGTATTTTCCTTCCTCCCTCCCTTCCTTCCCTCCCTCCCTTCCCTTCTCCTTTGCCTTCCTCTAAGTTTGCTAGGGAGGAGGGGATCTCTGTAGTGTTTCTGAAACAAGATGATTTTAGGCGGTACAAGGACACAGCATTCAATAGCAATGAGCCTTCCACTAGGAAAGTTACTCCCTTTTCAGGTATTTTTCAATCTTTTTTACTATACCAAGGAGAATGTCCTTAGCTTGGGGTAGTGACTCTAATACCTCTTAATACTTTGGTAGGTAGCAACTGCACCCAGCTAGGATTTAATAGCATTTGTATGACAAAGTTGTTTCAACAGATAAATAATAGTTATGCCAAGTACACAGTTTTTCTGTTTACAGTAGTGATGGTTGCTTTTAAAAATACCTTTATTTAAGTTAAACATTTTACATGAGTCAAAGGTTAAAATTAATAGTACAGTATAATGAAACTTGGAATATTCTGAAGTTTGGAAAACATTTGGCTACTTGTAGTTTACACAAGGCCCTTTGTGCTAACCTGTTTGATGAACTTCAATTTCCTTACAGTTCTCTCCAATTCTCCTTTAAAAGAAAGTATATACACCCTCTAGGTGTACACACACACATATTCTACAGATAATCTGTGGGGCAAAGCATTTTGGTTCTTTAGTTTTGTACAATTTAGGTGCTTGGATTCTAAAGTGAAATACATTTAATTATTTATGTTATTTTCTATTTTAAAAAGAAAAAAAAAGAAAAAATCTAAACACTGACAAACCATAATAATCCCAGAAGGAAAGGATTTCATATTACTGAAAGAGATCATTAATTTTTTTCCCATTCATTCTATTCTTTCAGATACTTTATATGATTGAAATAATTCTCCATGTAATTCCTGAAGGACACTTGAGCCCTTAAGTGCCAGGAATAATGATAAATATATATAAAGACAAAAGGAGGCAGACCTTGCCATCAGAAAGCTTATAGACTTTGTTCTGTAATTCAGAGGAATGACTCTAAAGAGGAGAAAATTTTAGACAAGGGAGGAGAAGAGGTAGGTTGTTGTCTACCTAATAATTCTTAGTGGAAGAATTTTTGACAGTAAGAGCCATGCAGTGCCCTTCACATATCTAACTCATCGACCAGACATTTATTGAATTTCTAGCACTGTCAGGCATTGTATTAGGCACTGAGACTTGGAGCAACATAGGATGCCCTGCTGTCCAAGCCCTCACTGTTCATTAAGGGAGACAGACGTAGGATAACTAACAGTGTGCTGTGAGAAGTCTTTCAGAATACAGGTGTGAGCTGGGTGAGGGAGTTTTGTGTTGGATCCTAAAGTAGGTGTTCACTGGGTGAAGGAGATGGGAAGAACATTCCATGGGAAGAGAAAAGCATCAACAAATAGGCAATGAGGTGTAACCGTCCATGGCTTTCTGGGGACACTTTTGGGAAAGGATAATTGGGGTGGGGGTTGGTATAGGGATCTTTGAAGGCTTTCTAAGCAGAGTAACTTGTATTCACAATTCTACCTGTGGGCTTTGTTACAGAGTAATGGCAATAGGCCAGTAATTAGAGAATAATTGCCCAGCTCTCACCCAGTTACCTCGAAGCTGAAAACAGACTGCTCAGGTGCTCCCCAGTTTCTAAGCAAAGTGTAGGCTCCATGGGTATTCATCATGGAAAACACTCTCAGGTGTTTATTTAGTTGTACATAACATTTTTTTTTTTTTGCTACAAAGATAACATCAGGTAGAATAAACACCAAATGTTAGGACACATTCCTTATATTGACTGTAAATTAAGTACTTATCCAAAATAGGGGTTGAGAGATTTTTTTTTATAAAGGCCCAGATAGTAAATATTTTCAGGCTTTTTGGGTCAGAAGGCCAGGCAGGCGCGCGCGCGCACGCACACACACACACACACACACACACACACACACACACCTACCTTTGCCTGGGGTACACACACACACACACACACACACACCTACCTTTGCCTGGGGTACCGTGTAAGCTACTTTGACTCCAGGTGGAGTCATTTACCTGACCAAGAGCCTGAGGGAGAGAGGGAGAGGGGCCTGACAGGTCAGGCCTACAGCCAACAAGGTATATTTCACTCTGCCCCAGGGACTCCTAGAGCCAAGGGTGCCATCCTCTTCTCTTGGAGAACCTGGCCATCTCATATTGGTCAAGGCCTTTGGAGAGGTGATATGCCAAATCTCTGACTCCCAAATTGAGATTCCACCATTTGGTGCCTGGCATATGCCAGTAGCAGAGTCTAGAATGTGTAGGTGGTGGTGCTCAGGCCCGGAGCAGACTGCTGACCAGACAGACAAGCACTGGTTTCTCTTCGGGGAGCAGGGGTAGAAACTAATGCCCAGGCTTGATCTTTGAGGCTCACAGTGCAGGCCCACAGCAATACAAAATGCAGAGTCGGGAGGGGTGTACTGGCATATACTGTGTAGAGGCCAGAGGTGCTGCAGAACACCCTGCATGTACAGGCCAGCTCCTCGAAGTACAGAATTATCTGCCCCAAATGTGATTAGTGTGAGGCTGAGAAACCCTAATCCAAAATACTAAATAATTTCTTTATAGTTCATGAGGTTCTGAAAAAAGATGTTATTTTGATCCTCAGATAACTCATTGCCTCTTAAATAGCATGTTATCCCTGCTAGGCTGTGAGGATCCTATTCATCTTTGTATTCACATTTTGTATAATTTTGAATCAACACACACATATGGGGCATTTATTAATAATAATAGCCAACATTTATTGGGTATTTACAATATACTACACTACCGTATACTACTGTATTAACTAATTTACAGGCATTATTTCATTTGTCAACAATAATTAGGTCTCTACTTCAAGGAGGGTAGATTTTTCTCAATGTCACACAAATGGAGGAGCTGGAATTAATGTGTAATTTGTTATAAGGTGTATATTATAAGTTTCCTTCCAAGTTAAAGTTATTAATGTGCCTTTTTCTTACCTGTTAATTGTGACTTGAGCTGTAATACTCAAGATCATTCTCAGGGTTACTTACCTATTTAAAGCTTTACTCCCAGAGAGAGAACAAAAATCAACAACTCGTAAATATTTTGTTCCAGTCTGTTTATAAATAGCATCTCAAAAGTTGCTTTCTTCTTTCCAGACCTCACCAGTGTTGCTCCAGACTTAAGTGCCAACTTTATAAAGCACAAGTATGTACTTTAATCTCATTTGGAAACCTCCTTCTAGAGTCCTGACCTAAGTCAGACCAGCAAACTAGACTGCCTTTACCAAGTATACATGTTCCAGTATTGGGAAGAATTTTCCAGATTTAGATAATAAAGTTATTTATTGCCAGAATTTTAAGCCATAATAAACTATGCAATGCCAAATGAACTTTGTTTTAAAATAAGTTGGTTTTTTAAAATAGCCTTCTTTAGTGAAAGCATTCCAGCGTTCCAAATGGAAAATAATGTCTCCCATACACTGAGTGGAGATGTAAGTACAGTTCCCAAAGAAATGGACATTGAAAAATGTAGCTCCTTGTATTTAAGGATACTTTGTGACCACGTTAGCTATCAGAAAGGTTAACACAGTCAGTGCAATAAAACGTGCTACAGTTTGTATGTTTATCTGATTTTGAGTTTCCCTTTTTCCCCAAGGACTTAAAATTTGCTGACTTGATTGCATATGTTAATGATTATCAAGTAAAATTCACCAGGCAATGCCCTCCTCCAGTGTTCTTCCTTTGTATCAGTAGATTGTTTATATAAGACGGCTGTACTGTTGGGATAGTTTCCTTTTGAAATGTCCAGTTATAGGAAGGGGTATATTTTAAGGTGGTACTATACTTTTGATCAAAACTTCTAAAAATGTTACCTGTTTTTGTATTTCTTTTTTCTGTGCTGTGCTTCAGTATTTCTATATTTATAATTTAAAAAAATTAACTCAAGCTGGAAGGCTTTATGCACTGCACACTTGGAAAAAAGAATGGTGGAAGGATATCATGCTAAGTGAAACAGCAGTCACAGCAAGGCAAATATTGTATGATTTCACTTACATGAGATTTCTTATGTAAGAGAATCAAATTCATAGAGACAGAAAGTAGAAGATAGAATGGTGGTTGTCAGGGGTTGGGGGAAGTGGGAAATGGGGAGCTGTTTAATGGGGAAAGAGTTTCAGATGAACAGAGTTCTGGAGATTGGTTGCACGACAGTGTGAATGTACTTAAGGCTGTTTAACTACATTTAAAAATGGTTAAAATTGTACATTTTATGTGTATTTTACCACAATTAAAAAAATAAGTGGATTAAACCAACAATTTATAAATTATAATGGTGTTTATGAATTCCTTTTTAAGTAATAAATACACACAACAGTTGAGTTTCTATATATATATAATTCACCAGGTAAACAGTTGTTTTAATAACTCAAGACCTATTAGGAACTTAGAGAAAATTCACCTTAATATAGCACAAAGCAAAGGACTAGATAAGTGCAAAGGACATTGAAGAGGGCTGTATGTGGACATGTTTTGCAGGAACCTACAGAAAAGCCTTTTAACTTGCAACAGTTAACTATGGTTATGATTAGGTTTGATATAAGTCGAGGTGATCCTTAAGAACGGTGATTGGTGAACCTCAGGTGCTATCCACAGTGCTTAAAAGCAGATGGTCATCTTAAAAGAAAAATAGAAACAGCTTTAATCATCTTAATATAAATGTTTATGTATTTTGAAAACTAAACTTTTCTGGTTTACGTTTTCCATGTTTTAAAACAAGTGTTTTTGTAGGATAACCATTTTTAAAACTTGTATCTTTGACTAGGTAATATATTTCCATATTATAAAACATAAAAAGCATCAAGTGGCACATAGTGAAGTCCCCCTACAACCCTCAGCACAGTGCTAGTGATAGACATAAAAAATGTTATTAGTTTCTTATAAATTCTTTCAAATACTGTATAGTATATATCCATTATATATATATCATTCATTTATAGATAATAAGGTGCTTTTATATTCCAGTGTTTCTTTACATACTGTTCAGCACTGCATTTTTTACTTTCATGTATTTTGGAGATCTTTCTGTTTTGGGAGTTCAAGAGCTTTCTTTTTTTAATTTAGTTAATTAATTAATTAATTTTTATTTATTTTTTTATTAAGGTATCATTGATATACACTCTTATGAAGGTTTCACAAGAAAAATAATGCGGTTACTACATTCACCCTTATTATCTAGTCCCCACCCATACCCCATTGCAGTCACTGTCCATTGGTGTAGTAAGATGCCACAGAGTCCCTACTTGTCTTCTCTGTGCTATACTGTCTTCCCCCTGACCCCACACACACCATGTGCACTAATGATACCCCACAATCATCTTTTTTCTCCCTCCTCACCCGCCCTTCCCCACCCCTCCCCTTTGGTAACCACTAGTCCCTTCTTGGAGTCTGTGAGTCTGCTGCTATTTTATTTCTTCAATTTTGCTTCGTTGTTATACTCCACAAATGAGGGAAATCATCTGGTATTTGTCTTTCTCTGCCTGACTTATTTCACTGAGCATAATACACTCTAGCTCCATCCATGTTCTTGCAAATGGTAGGATTTGTTTTCAAGAGCTTTCTTACTCTTTTTTATGAACACCTAATATTTAGTGGATGGATATGTCATAATTAACATGTTTCCTATTGATGGACATTTTGGTTGTTTCTAAGTGTTTATAAGCAATAATAAATTTAGACCTAAGAGATAGGGACCAGTCAGCTACTAATGATTGACAATTGACTTTAAGAATCCCAAAGGCCAAGAGTCTAGTCCCTAACCCCTTCCCCCATAAAACAAACAAATAAAATCACAAGTGACCTGCCCAGGATCACATGGTAGAGGTTGGACAAAAATCTGACAGCCCTGAGTTGAGTCCACTTTCCAACAAATCAGGTAATTATCATTTCATTGCATTCTAAATACCCTTCTTAAAAAGACTATCATCTTAGAGGTTTGAGTTTCTGCTCAGGAAGGATAATGAAGCATTTTACTTTTCCCTAAGCACTAAAGCATTTTAACTTTTAAAAAGGTAATACATGAACATGGTTTTAAAAAAAGTGAAGTAGTACTGAAGGCTATACAGTGAAGAATAAGTCTTCCTCCAACTCCGGACCCCTAGTCATCTGTGGCCCTTTCCCAGAAACAGTCATTGTTACCAGTGTCTGGTATACCTGTCCAGAAAGTCTGTGCAAAACCCAGCATACATATATGTGTGTGTGTACTTTAAAAAAAAATGTAAATAGTGGTATACTGTAATAGTGGGATCTTGTTTTGTACCTTCCCTTTTCTTTGCCCCCTTTTAAAATTTCTCTGAAGTTGTTAATATGCAAGTTAAATGTGATTTTATAGGTTTGTAAACTTGAAGGCTGAAATCATCTCTCCTTTTTTTTTTTTAACCCTATCACAGAGCATATAAAATACGCTGACGTTTTTTGGACTTAATTTTATTCTTCTAGTAATTAAGGTCATCCTTTATATCATCCAATAACAATCAGTGTATGTTCTGTTCAACACTATTCTAAGCATTTGATTTAGTGGCTCTGGTATAGTCAAAATCCTGTTGTGAAAGGTTAGAGACAGTGACAGTGAAGAACAAAATAACAAAGTTCAAATCATCTCTTGTTTACTTTTGGTCTTACCCAAGATTTCTCAAACTGGAGTTACTAAGATGTGCTTACATTGGTTTATTTTTTATTTAGTACATACTAAGTGCTAGGTACTACATGGAACACAAAGAGATTTAGTTTCTGAAGAAGTCATTTCCTTTCTGTTTTACTATCATATTGCAAGAAATACATTTGATAAGGGGCTAAATGGTCCATAGCTCAAGCCCTAAGTAGGCACTGGTTGCAGTTTTTAAAATGAAAAGGTTAGAAAGTCATAGGAAACAAGTTATATTCTCAGTAATAGGATACAAAACATGCAAGATGTTACTGCTAGGCAATTAATAAACTACTTTTCTACAATAAATCCATCTCTTCATCTCAAAGGACAGTTTTCACCTGACTGTAAGTACGTCAATATTTACAGGAACTCTCAGTAACTGGCTGCAACTCTCTCATATTTACAGGAAAATAAATGGGCAACTACTACTGCCATTTACTGAGAACCTACTCTGCCTGCTCACTGTGCCATACATTGTGGTCTGTGCTTTATGTACTCTAAGCTAATACTTAACAATAGCTCACAAATAGCTTGAAAAAATTAATTATCCCCATTTTATAGATAAGCAAACATTCTAAGAACATAAAACATTTGCCCAAGCAACAGAGTAAATGACAAATAGGGATTTGAATCCTGCTCTGTGGGATTTCAGGCTTTAAAGGGTGAAATCTCAGCAAAATTCATTAAACAATTCCACTATAAAAACACTTAAAAATGAATCTTGTTAATGTGATAATTTATCCTTACCCCATTTTATATAAGTTAATATACTTCATTGCACTAAACATGAAAGACTATATGGTTTTTAGTTATCTGCACAAAGAAAACTGCGTTTTGACATGCCAAATATCATAAATTACGTCAGAGTGTAATTATAGACTGTATGTGGTACAACTAAGGCCTCCACTACTACAGGCCACAGATCCAATTCCCCACCATCTAAAGGTCTCCCATAGCTTGACTTCCACACAATGGCACAGGGGCCATTAACTTTTAGAAAACTAGAAAGGGGCAGTAATTAAGAACGTAACTCTTTTTTTCTGTAGTAGTCTGGGTCAGAATGAGAATACTTTTCTGGTTCTTCTGATTGGCACTGAAGGGGATGAGGAGGCAAGTTTAACTCTAAGCTAGGTCAAGGCATACTGCTCTAGAGCCTAATGCTGTTTCTGCCATGCCATTCTCCTTAACGTGCATTTATATCATACAGTATGTATTTACCATACTATTTTAATAAATGGGGAAATGGACCATACACAAAACCAGTTTTAAGGCTTTCCTTAGCCTCTGTTACAGAAGTAAAGTTTTGGTTAAATGATTAGGTTTGGCGAAAATTTTCTAGTATCATTATCGGATTATACCATGGTGAGTTGTTAAACAATGTGTTGCTTCTTCCAAAACCTAACATCCACTCAGCTTAGATTTCTGTACCTTTGTGTCTTGTTTTGCAAAAGCACTAATATAGAATAATTTTAATATAAAGAAGGAAAAGGAATGAGTGTTTGCATTACAATAGGATTCCAAGATGATCATGCATTTGTTCCAGGATTCCCATTGTCAATTGATCCTCTTCATCTCCATCAACACAAACCTTCTCCAAATGACTATCGCCTCAACCTTGGACTGTTAAACTAAAATCCAAACAGATACACCCTTTTCTACAAACTTTTCTACCAACAGAAACACCCTTTTCTACAAGACACAGTTGCTGCTGAACAGCCTCCTCCCCTCAAAGCATTATCTGGCCCAAGTTATCAGTAGTGCCAAAGTTGAGAAACTTTGATTTGTACTTGTTTGTACTGAGTCAAGGAAAAGTCTAAATGAGTGATCTTGGGGGATGGAGTGAGGAATACACACACACACACTAACAGATACCCCCTTTTCTACTCTTGCTGTGGGGTCTTGCTTTTCTCCTTGCCTTCAAAGCCCTCTCTCCTCACAGCCTCCTGACCCCTTCACCTTTAGCGATTTTTAGATTTCAGCTTAATTATCACTTTCTCAAGGATACTTTCCTGAGTTCCCTTAAGGGGTAAATTCTACCCATGTGGAACCACATAGCACATGTAATCTCCTTCAAAGGCCTTAATACACTTGTAACTGTGATTAGTGATACATTTGATAAGTGTCTGTTTCTCTCACTAGAATGCAAGCTCATGAGGCCAAGGACCACCACCATCACCACCACCACCATCATTTTATTAATTATTGTTTGCTAACCACATATCCCTGATAGCCTAGCACCTAGGTATTCAATAAATATTTGTTGAATAGATGAATATAGATGTTACCTGCTGTTAGATTGGAAGCCTGTAAATGAAGGTAAAGCTGAGGTTAGGTGGTCCCTACCAACCAAAGATCAATTAGAGCTAATTTCTGAAATTGTGCCAACATAAAATAATAGAAAATGTGTTCCCGATTCACAACTTCAGTCAGTTACAGTTATATTGTATGAAATTTGGGGAAGAAATTAAGGTGCTTTTCTCTGTAGCATCCTTCTGGTTAAAATCTAAAAACATTCCACATAGGCATTAAACAGTGTGAGGCTCTTAAATATTCCCACTATGGCTTTCCAACCATGGAATGAAATGGTAGGAGATTTTTTTTTCTGTGTTCCCCCAAGAATATAAAAGGCAAAAATGGAAACTTTATGACTTTTACAATATAATTTTGTATGTTATGTTTACTTTTTGTTCTCTAATTGTTTCAAATGTGTCTTCAATTGGACCAAATGTTTGCTAAGGCCATGCATTATACCAGTCAGTGGTCCTTGGTTTTGGTGGTATTGCCCACCTGGGAACATTTGGCAATGTCTGGAGGCAGTTTTGCTTGTCACAATGGGGAAGAGAGGAATGCCGCTCTCATCTAGTAGGTAGAAGACACAGATGCTGCTCAACCTCCTCCTCCCTTCAAAGCATTATCTGGCCCAAGTTATCAGTAGTGCCAAAGTTGAGAAACTTTGCTTTGTACTTGCTTGTACTGAGTCAAGGAAAAGTCTAAATGAGTGATCTTGGGGGATGGGGTGAGGAATACACACACACACACACACACACACACACACACACACACACACACACACACACTAAAGATAAACACAGTTGAGATCTTACATTAATGAATGGAGTTTTTATAAAGACAGTTGACTCATAAAATAACTGTTAGCTCTTTTTGAAAAGGGGAAAGGAACAAATGGGATGTCTACGATTGGTTTTGAAATTTAGAAATTGTTGATCTGGATCTTCCCTGCCATTCAACCGTTTGAAAAACAATTTTTGAACATTAATAACGAACCTCTCATCCACTGCAAAGATTCACTGGAAGCCGTTTGGTGCAATATGACTTCACCTCACTATATTAGAGAGGATTCGAGGAGGGCACTTGACTCAAAGCTTGGCCAATGAGCAATTCTTCTCTGTTGCCTGAAGATGTCCCTGTATCTTTAGGACAGAGTCTCCTTTTCTGCTTGGACTAGCTCAAGATCATCACTTTCAGGCCAAGAGGCTTTAACCAAGAGAACTGCTCTAGGGATGATTGTAAAATTTATCTCTGGGGAAGACTGCTCTTTTGAAAAAACAGTTTAATGGGTCTTCTGGGTATATGAAAGTAAAGCAAAAATTCATTTATAATTACAAACAACTAACACAGTGATGTAGAAGGGATGACTGTATCATGAGCAAGGCTGCGTCTCTGCTGGCAGCATGTTAGTGCTTGTTTACTTTTTTGTTGTTACTGGAGGAGGACTCTTTATTTTATGATAACTGAAGACAAAAAGAGATGAGACTCTGAGGAAGGGAAGACTGGAAAAGGGAGGCTTTTATCCTGGCAAGATTTGGCCCAAGGAACAGAGTGAGTGAGTAGAGGATCCCTAGTGAAGGGACATGACCAAAGAACTCAAAGAGTGAATTACGTTCTTTAGTTTTAAGATGTGCTTTGGGAAAATAAGAAAGGAGCTGTGTTCAAGTTTAAGGAGAAGATAGTGCTGGCAGTGCGTATTGGCACAAGCACTTTGGAAAGTTCTTTCACTGTGTCCTGTATATCCTCCAAGCCAAAAATTCTACCTGAGAAAAATTGTTGCATGTATGACTTAAGAGGTTATACAAGAATATTCATAGCATTGTACATAATAGTTTGTGTGTGTGTGTGTGAGAAATCTAAATGTTGGTGATAGGAAAATGGATATATGAATTGTGGTATATTCATATAATGGAATGTTATCTGGCAGAGAAGATAAAACACAATTACATTAAACAGGATGGATTCTGGGAGCATAATGTCCATTGAAAACAAGCAGCAATATAATACAGCATGGAAATAATTTTATCATCAAAATACAAGCAAAAGTAAGTAGTACAGTGTTTAGAAATTTATAGTGCAATTATGCAAAGAAAAGTTGAACTGATTTTAAAAAATCAGAGTAGTGATTACCTTTGGGAGGAAACAGAAAAGGTGGGATCTGGGTGGAGCACACAGGGAGCTTCTAATAGCACATGTTAATGTTCCGTTTTGAAATTGGGTGGTACAATCACAGATATTCATTTTATTGTTTCATAACTCAGATGTATTCTTTTGTACATGTGTGACTTTTTAAAAATGAAAGAATAAAATAATTGTCAAATTATTTCTTACTGCACCCAGTCAGAATGGCTACTATCCAAAAGACAAGGAATAGCAAGTGTTGGTGAGGATGTGGAGAAAAGGGAACCCTTGTGCACTGTTGGGAATGTAAATTGGTGCAGCCACTGTGGAAAGCAGTATGGAGTTTCAGCAAACAACTGTAAATAGAAATACCATACAACCCAGCAGTCCCACGGCTGGGAACTTAATCAGCAGAAAACAAAAAATCTCTGATTTGAAAAGATATTTGCACTCCTGTGTTTTGCTGTATTATTTACAATAGCCAAGATACAGAAACAATCAAGTGTCCATCAGTAAAAGGATAAATAAGCTGTGGTGCACACATACAATGGAATATTATTCAGTCATCAAAAGAAAAAGCAAGTTTGCAATAACATGGGGGGACCTAGAGGGTATTATACCAAATAAAATAAGCCAGGCAGAAAGACAAATACCGTATGATTTCACTTACATGTGGAATCTAAATTAACAAAACAAATGAAAACAGAAATAGACTCACGGACACAGACAAGACTGGTGGTTACCATTGGGTGGGGATATGGAGGTAGGGGAAAAGGTGAAGGGGATAAAAAGCACAAAATTAAAACAATAAAAAAATAATTGTCAAATTGCTCAACAATACAGAGTTAAAGTTCTATTAACAGTGTATGAAAGTGCTGATGAATTGTGATTTAACTTCTTTTCTGTCTTTGGGAATGGAGTGGAAGAGAGTCCCCTTAAATATCTATCTTGAAGCATCTTTGTGAACTAGGGTGCAATTTCCTCTACTCTCAGGACATTGATGATTTCTGCCCAACATTCCGCAGGGACTTTACGGCAATGAGGGAAGAAATGGTGGGACCTTATGGAGACAGCAGACAATTGCTGATTTTACACTGTTGCAAAACAGAACTTATTAAATGTAACAAATTGCTATAGTGTTTTAATGTCCTTTTGCTACTTCTATATAGTATCCAAAGGTTGCAACACTTTCTCTTCTTCGGAACTGAGTGAGGGGCAGTCATTTCCTTCTGCCTCCTTCCTAATCACCAGGCGTGGCACGTGCTGTTCCCTATCCCCTTAGGGAGACCCTTTGCTGCTTTGTTGGTCTGTCTGACTCCCTTAAAATTTTAAGTTAAAGGGCTAACTCCTCTGGGAAACTCTTCGAATGCTGATTTCTCATCCCAGCAGCACCACAGCTCTGAGGTGTTTTGGAAGTCTTCATCAAGCATCAGTTTCCGTGCGGATGATAAGGTCAGCTTGGGTGGCTGTGAGGAGGATGATGCCGTGGGTATAGAGCCCAGGCCCCTGAGTCAAGCAGCCGTGTCCGAGTGCTCGGCCGGCCCCATCTCTCTGGGTTTGGGCTGATCACAGGGCCTCAGTTTCTTCAGTCTAGCAGGTATGCCGTAACTCCAGAAAGCTAACGCTCGGGGAACCCCGCCGCCGCTTAGCACCTCCCACGTGTCCCCGCCCTTTTCTACGATCTCTCTGCTCCCGGTACTCGGGCTGCCCTCCCGGCGGCCCCTCACTGGCAGGAGAAAGTCCTTTAAAAGGCTGAAAGGACCTGATGCAGGGCGGGGAGGACAAAGGTTGGCGGCGCGGTATCCCGCCGAGATCGCTACGCTTTCCCCACATGGGGCTCCTCATTGGCTGGAGGTCGCCGCTCGCCGGCGCGTCTTCCGGGACAGAGGCGGGACTAGAAATCACGACTTCCGGCGCGAGGCCAGTCGTCGCACTTGTCAGGCCCAATGGCGGCCCCGCTGCTCCACACGCGGTTGCCGGGAGATGCGGCCGCTTCGGCCTCTGCAGTCAAGACGCTGCGCACATCGACTGGGTAGGGGTCCAGGACGCTTCCCTCTGTGTGTGTGGGACCAAAGCCCAGGACCAGGGTTAGGGATGCGCATCTGAAATGTGGGACAGCTAATGGGATTCAGGGAGAGCAAAGGGTAGCGCGTCATCTTAGGGTCTCAAAAGTGAGCCCCTGACCCGAATGGGTAATAACGGTGGGAGAGCGGCTGGAAAAATGGGTCTGTTCTGTTTCACTGGTACCCTTTTCTCCTCGCTGGGCTCCCTCACAGCGTTCCAGGCCTGGCGCTGCCCTCTGCTCCTTTCCTCTTCCTCCTGCTTCGTCTCGATTTGGAGAGTTCCCCGGTTTGTTAAGATTGCCAGCCGAATGCTGTCGCTGATGGCAAATTTAATCTTAAAATTATTTTTTGTTTGAAATTTGTTTCAACACACTTGTTTAACCGTCCATCTTGCTCAACTTTTAAAGGTCCTAACCCCCATAAAACCCTTTGAGAGTCATTAGCAGGATGCGTTTCACCCCCACTAATCAGCTGTGTTTAAAAGAAAGAAATTTTGTAAATCCCTTACCGTAATATCATTCGTAATATTTATTAAGCACCTTTTTTGTTGTTGTTAGATACTGGTGGGCGGAGGGCAGTATATCTAAAGAGAGAACATCCCTGCTCTCAACAGAGCTTACAGTCTTAAGGGGGGAAAGACAGTAAATAGGCCAATAACGGAAAGAACAGCATGATTTCAGATAGTAATCATTTCTGTGAACAAATAAAAACAGTGGTGGGAGTGGGAAGGGAGAGGATGGGATGGGTATTTTAGATTTCTGATGGGGAAGGCCTCTGACATTTGAGCTTCAACTTGAATGAAGACAAGAATCCATCCATTGACAGGTCTGGAGAATGAGTGTTGCTAGTGGAGGGAACAGCAAGTGAAGTGGGAATCAGCTTGGCACTTTTAAAAGGCTGTTATGGCAGTGGTGGTTAGTAAGTGATTAGGGATGAGGTCAGAAAGGTAGACAGGGGCCTAGGACCTTGAAGACCAGGATAGTTTAGATTCTAAGTGAAGTAGGAGAGTAGAGTGTAGCATGATCTCATTTCTGAAAGGTCACTATTATATCACTAGATGAAGACTGGATTCTTGGGGGATTAGAGTGGAAGCAAGCCAGCTTTAGAAGTAATCCTTCTGATACTGGTTCAATAAATGTTGGCTGTTACAATTTTTATTTTTATCTGTCATGTGCTCAAAGGCTTGATAATATTGGTTCTACAGGCTGTCAGATATGCTTGCATTAGAAAATGATTTCTTCAATTCTCCCCCAAGAAAAACTGTTCGGTTTGGTGGAACTGTGACAGAAGTCTTGCTGAAGTACAAAAAGGTAAGAGGAAGTAATGGGTGAGATTAAGTTTTTTTACCCAGCTGTATTGAGATAATATTTACATATCTGAGGTTTGTATTTTTTTTGGTCAGAGTACATTTATAGCCATTATACTAAAGACCAGTATCAATCTTGAAATCAGATATTTAATAACAGCAAGAAGCTGTCAGCTCAGAATTAGAGTAGTAACCTCTGCTGAGGTTTGACATCTTCCAATGCTTTTTCATAGTATCTTTTAAAAACTTTTGCAAGTGTTAAAATAAAAAAAATCATTAGATCAGATAATTTTATTTCTTGAGGAATTATCTAAGTATTACTTTGGGAATATAAAACAGTTCTATTAATAGGGATTTTTTGATTTTGTGTTAGTTTAGAAATGATTCTACTAAATCTAAGCAATGGAGGGAAAAAAGTGTCTATTTGCATATGTAATACATATTTATATCGACATATATGAGTAGATAGTATTTTGGGGCATTGACTATTAACATTCCATTGTTGGTACCCAAGTATACTTAATATGAACGGTCTTTTGTTGTCATTTTCTTTTTTGCAAAAAGTTTTGCTGTTGCTCTTTAGCAGGAAACCAAAGCAAGCAAAATTTTCTTCTTTTTCCCTTCTTGTCTTAAGGGTGACACAAATGACTTTGAGTTGTTGAAGAACCAGTTGTCAGATCCAGACATAAAGGTAATTAATTTCATGTTTGATCATCAGCAGAGCCATTGCTACTTTGTACAGATGTTAGTTTGCACCTTTGGTCTACAATCTATAGAAGGATTGTCGATTGTTCTCTCTATAAGGACTTCACACTTTTGTGGCTTTCACCTAGGGCCCTTTGGTGCCTGAGGGCACGTTTGACAATACTGGAGACATTTTTGGTTGTCACAACTGTGGGAAGGGAAGGGTGCCACCAGCATCTAGTGAGTGGGTGACCGGGATGCTGCTGAACACCCTGCAAGGCACAGGCCGCCTTCCACAACAAAGAAATGCCAAGGCCAACGTGTCAGTAGTCCTGAGGCTGAGAAACCCTGCTTTCATCTTTCTTGCTAGGACCTCTGTCCTCTATGCTAAGTGAAAATCTCCTGTCTTTTCAATGCTGAAACAAAACAAATCCACAAAAGAGAAAGTCTTCCAAGCTATTCCTCCTCCTTCAGCGTTTTTGGAAATGGTTTAAGATACAACCTGTCATGTAGTAACAACTCAACGTTTGTCTCCCTTTTATGTTGCCCTTAATGTTTCTGTTTACCATGGCAGTGGGAGTCAGCTTGCCTGGGATAAAATCCCAGCTCCATTGTTTCCCAGTGTGTGCTTTTGGGCAAGTTGTCTAACCTCTCTGTCTCTGTTTTCCTCTTTGTAAAACCAGAGAAACAGTTGGGATTTTTTTAAACGTCGAGGTTTGTAGGGAGTCCAATGAATTAATAAATGAGAAGCATATAGAACAGCCCCTTACTCAAGGTGAGGTGTTAGGGGCTGTTCCTGCTGCAGTCTGCGTGTTCTCGTTTCCCACTCCGCTTTACATCTACTCTGCTCATTGCTGTGACTACCGTGACAGGTTACAGTGGTGTTTTTACTTGCTGATTTCAGTGAACTTCTTTTCCAAGCCTCACACCAATTCCTTGTAGCAGTTGCCGCTGTTTGTTGGCTGCTCACTTCTTAAAACCCTTCCTTCAGTTTCTGTGATCTTCCTGTTTTATCGCTTATCTCTAGTCATTCTCTCAACAGGTTCTTAAACGTGGTGTTGATTGGGTTTTCAAACTTGACCCTTTCCTCATTCTACAGATTGTCCCTGTGTGATCCCCTTAGGCCCCAATGGTTTTGAGATTTATCTGTGTCCTGACTCCCAAATTTGTATCTGTAACTCAGGTTGCTCGTGGGCATCAGACATTTTTCTTAACTGTCAGCCCACAAGTGTTAGAGGCACCCCAGACTTAGCCCCCCTCACTCTCTCAAACCTGCCCCTTCTAAGCCTTTTTATGTGCTTGACTGACTGCTTACCTAGTTCTTGAGCTGGGAACAGTCCCTTGGACCTTGGAGTCTCTCTGGACTTTATCACCCCTCATAACCATGGAGTCACCAGGTCCTTTGAAGAAAAAACCTTTCAAGGCTTCTTGTTTTGTTGGTGCTCCCTTGTCTGTATTCTTCCCATAACCTCTTTCCTGGGCTCTAGGTTCCCGTTCTCCTTTCTCACATGACCTCCTGCCCAGTGTATCCTCAGCAGGGCAGCCTAAATAATCTCTAAAGCATGGGCTAAATGCGCCATTGCTCTCAGAAAAACTGCTCAGGGAAGCAGAAAGGATCAAATTCTTAGCATGGACTGCAACATTTTTTTTCCATGTTCAGTCTTACTAGATACTTTATTTCACAAATTTGCTGCTGCTTTTCATCTTTATGCCTTTGCATGTGCCTTTTCTTTTTTGGCCAGCAGGTCCTTTGTATCCACTTTGTTACCAGTTTGAGTTGTGGTTGCCTGGCTACATGGCCTCTTCCTTCCTCAGTTACTAGCTTTGTGACTGGAGGTGAATCATTGTACTTCTGGATCTCCATGCCCGCCTCTGTAATGTGGGGACCAGTGGTAGTACCTCCCTCATGGAGTGATTGTAAGGATTAAATGAGTTAATATAGGTTGAAATCTTAGAAGGTTTCTGGCATATTGTGAGTACTGTGTCATTACTATAATCTACAAAATTCCCATGCTTTGTGATCCAGCTGAAATGTTATTTTCTCCAAAGATAAGAGCACATGGTTGTTCATTCAGTCCACTCCCCACATTTCCAGCAGATCTTTCTTATTATAAATCTAGCTGAAAAGGACTTGAACAATTTATGTGGTCCCCTTTGCTCCCCAGATTTATCTGTTGGCTTGCTCACCCTATGCTGAAGCTGTACAGAACTGCTTTGGTTTTCTGAAAATGTGCTCTGTAAGGAAGACAGCAGAAGCATTGCTTCCCATTTAAAGCTTTCCCTGACCTGTGCCTTCTTCACAGGTCCGAAGGACCATTTTCTTTTTGTTCCACTGTACTTTGTATCAGCACTTCTCATTCTTGGTATCTTAACATCAGTTGTGTCTGTTAGTTCTGAGGGGTGTTGCAAGTAATTTGCTTCTAATAACAGTTCATTACCAAGGCACCAATGACTGTAGCTTGTTTACTTTTACTTTAGAAAGTGGAGCTGTTTAAATGTTATCCTTTTAATTTTGTTGTACCTTTTTTAGTGGGAAAGGGATGTGATAGAGCTAACTCATTATTATTTGCATGTAATTTAGCTCATCTGTGCCTCAGGCCTTGGTGAGCCACCATTAATGTTAGCCTTAATGATTGTGGATAATGTGAAATTACCATAGTGCAAATAAGTTATGATTTACTTTATTTTACTGCCAGTTTGCTTGGGGTTTCATCAGAAAATAGTCCCATTTAAGTTTGTCACAATAATGGTGCATTGAAAGCACTCAGTGGTTGAATGAGGGTGGGGACAGAGGTGGTGAGCTTCCTCTGTGTGTGGAGCAAGGCATTGTGGGAGAGTGGGTGGGACATAGGCTTAGACTCAGGTTTGAACCTGCTTCTTTATTGGCTTCTTGGTTGGACAAGTGCTGATTAATTTTTCTTAGCTGGTTTCCTCAACTGTAAACTGGGAGTAACAGAAATCTTTTTGGAGGGTTGTTACGTTTAGGAAAAGGTGCATTATGGATGGCATTGAGCACCATGCTTGGCACCTGATGTGCTCTCACTAAATGGTGCTCTGTAAGTAGTCTATAACTGTAGATACAACTGTCTGTCTCACTATAGGTATAACACTATTGCTTCTGTTTATGTATCTCTTTCCCCTATGGAGGGGTTAATCAGCATTAACTATTTTTCCAATTTGGGGGCTTTTTAGTTTTTTCTTGTATATGTTATGTATATGCACAAATACAGTCTATTTTACATAATTGATATTATATTGTATACATGGCTTCTTTTCTTTATTTAGCAGTTTTTCCCATATCACTAAAAGTTATGAAAAGTAATTTTATTGCCTGAATACAGACTTTGTGGAGTAGTGGAACATCATTTATATGTAACACATCTTACCATTTAAAACGTTAGATTTATTGATGACTAGTTAATCAGCTTAGACTGACTGTCATCTGCGTGCTTGTACATGAGCACGGTATAGAGGAGAGAGAGGTACTGTTGGTCCTTGTGGTCTTGTATTTGAATCTGCTATAATTCTGCAGTTTTGAAACTCAGGTGTCAGCATTTGAGTTGTTTTCACTTTTTTAGGGCAAACAAAAATGATTAGAAGGAAATATTCAATTTCTTTTTCTTATATATTAGTTACTACATTACTTTTTCTTAAAAACAGGAAAACCTATTGTAATTTTTTTCCATTTTGATACAGACATTTTCATCCTAATTTGGGCTTAAGTCCGAGTTTGTGACTTTTTCTCCCTAATTTTAATATTATTGATAGGTGACTGATGCAAGATAGTATGACTTCTTTGTTATTTAGAGGATTTGTGATTTTGAAAGTACTTTTCTTTGTCTAACTTAAGGATGACCAGATCATTAACTGGCTGTTAGAGTTCCGTTCCTCCATCATGTACTTGACCAAAGACTTTGAGCAGCTTATCAATATTCTGTTGGTAAGTTCACCATATGTTTCACTGACTAGTATGTGATTTAGTACTTTGGAAACAGTATATATTGTATCATTAAATTGTTTCTTTTATCCTTCTCTCCTTCCCACCTCTAGAGACTGCAGTGGTTAAACAGAAGTCAGACGGTGGTGGAGGAGTATTTGGCTTTTCTTGGTAATCTTGTGTCAGCACAAACGGTCTTTCTTAGACCATGTCTCATCATGATTGCTTCTCATTTTGTACCTCGTAAGTGATTCCTCTTGGCTTGCTTAGATTTTTCATGTTTTAAATATCCCTTTATTAAAATTCTACCTTCCCAGTACACTTTAGAGATTGTGCCACAACAGAAGATTCCAGGATGTATATTGGCAGTAATTCTGGTACCTGTCTCTTCTCTGTAATGGCCTTTGTGGAAATGTCTACATTTGTTTGTTGCTGTGATTTTTATGGGTAATAATTTGCTTTAGAATTCAGGAAATTTTTAGATGTTTAAAAACTCTGAAGTTACTTGATGAAAACCTCTCCCCCCCATTGTAAATTTAATCATCACACTAAGTTTGGACAATGGAAAAAATCACCTTTTTGTGTAGCTGTTAATTGTTTAGGTCAATGGCGGAAGAATAACATATTTTGTTTTTCCCTCAAAAGCCCGAGTGGTCATTAAGGAAGGTGACATAGATGTTTCAGATTCTGATGATGAAGATGATAGTAAGTATAAAGAGACCTCTCCAGGACCTATCTTTATATGGAGGTTGTAACAAATGAGAACCTTTGATGAAATCTTTTTGTTATATATAGCATTAACATGCAAGCAGTTGCCCTTAATGCATTATTTATATACAGTTGACCTTTAAACAACACAGGTTTGGACTGTGCAAACACAGGTTTGGTCCACTTACAGGCAGAATTTTTTCAGTAAATATATTGGAATTTTTTTTTTTTTTGAGATTAGTGATAATTCGAAAAAACCTTTTCTCTAGCTAGCTTTATTGTATAAATACAGTACATAATGCATATACAAAATAACATGTTAATTGTTCATGTTATTGGTAAGGCTTCTGGTCAGCAGTAGGCTATTAATAGTTAAATTTTTGGGTTGTCAAAAGTTATGGATTTTTGACTGCTGGGGGAATGGGGTTCAGCATCTCTAACCCCTGCATTGTTCAAGGGTCAACTGTAATTAGTCCATTTAGTCTTCATTAATAGTTGGTTATGGAGAAAAATCTTGACATTATTATTTTGCTGGTAAATGATTGTTTTGGTTAGCAAGTATTTTTTAGCTTCCAAGTACATACCTTTAAAGTTTTCAGTTCTATTTTGATGCTCATACTCTCACTTTTCACCATCCAGATCTTCCTGCAAATTTTGATACATGTCACAGAGCCTTGCAAATAATAGCAAGATATGTCCCATCGTGAGTATACTTTTGTTACTTACTTTGAATCATGATATTTAAGTCTCAAAATTATAATCAGAAAATTACAAAAACTTATTAGCATCAAAATTCAAAGTTGTGTGCTGCATGTTTTTGTATCTTGTTGATATAACATCACATTCTACAGAAGAAATGGCATTTTAGTTCTCTATTCATTGTCTTTATTTATTTTTCAAAACTTGTGTGCAAATTATCCCCCAAATTTTGTATAGTGGTTGGAATTTTGCTTTTATCTCCAACAGATATGATATCCAAAAATTTTCAGTGAGAAACTTCAGTGTGTTTGTATCATGCCACCTAAATAAAAATTGCAGTTCTAAGAAAAGCTTTTAAGGTGTGTGGGTTTCTTTTGGAGGGGTGGACTTCAAGTTCCCTCTGTGTATTTATTATTTGCTAACTTTGAAAAATTGAAGTTGATAATTGTTTCTCCTTTTAAAAAATAATACACGTGTATAGTGGGAAATTTTAAACTGGTTTAAACTGAAATTTTAAAGTTTAGATTTTAAACTGACACTCTTTGATGCTTTTGTTGAAAAAGAATTTCCCTTAATTTGATGTTGATATGAAAGTTAATAGAAACTTATTTTCCCCTAAGTTATTATAGATTTTCCCTGAAACTATGCATTTAAGTTCCAGTTGCTTGAGGTAGGATTCCCCTTTGCCTCCTGTATTTGTATTTGCTCTTAGAAAGGAAATATTTCCTTCCAGGAAATCCAGTTAACACGGATGGGTTGATTTTTATTTTTTTATTTTTTTAAATAGGACACCATGGTTTCTTATGCCAATACTGGTGGAAAAATTTCCATTTGTTCGAAAATCAGAGAGAATATTGGTAAGAAATCTTTTCATGGGAAAATGAAAAAGTTTTGTTTGATTTAGTTTTAGATGACAGTAGGTCTTTTTCTTAAAAGTTGTCTTCTAGGGTTTAAACTCCAGACTAGGAATTTGACTTTCTTAGTGACTAAGCATCCCCAGTGCTCTTTTCTCCTACTCTGATGTAAAAGCGAAGGGCAGAGTCCATTTCAGAAATATCTGGATAGATATCTTAATGCTTATACAGGTAAAAATGAGTAGAGTAGCTCATATTTACCAATTATAAACATGCCTTATTTGAACATGAAGGCAGAGATCTCTGTAGGTGAATTATACTCAAGTTTTTTGTGCAGTATTTGGATTATGTGTGTAGTTTTCAATAACGAATAGTGGTTCACTCCTAAGCATCAATTATTTTTTCCTAAATGAGGTATTCCAAGTTTAATAAGGGGTTAATAAGTTTGCTAATATTTGTGAGGGTATGCTTCAAGAGGAGTGTTATATACCCAGTGTCTCTTAGGAATGTAGATGCAAAACATCTCAACAAAATACTAGAAAACTGAATCTAGCAACATATGAAAAGAATTATGCACCAGAACCAAGTAAAATTTATCCTAGGAATTGATTTAATACCTGAAAATCAATTCATATTAATATACCTTATCAATAGAATAAATGAAAAGAATAATGTAATCTCAAGAGATACAGAAAAAGCATTTGAAAATACCAAAACCCTTTCATGACAAACACAGAAGGGACCTTTTTCAACTTGATAATGATTATCCATGGGAAGCTCCCAACTAACATAGTCAGTGGTAGAAGACTGAAAGCTTTCCCCGAAGGAACAAAACAAGGGCATCTGCTTTTGCTGCTTTTGTTCAGTATTGTACTAGAGGTGGTAGCCAGGGCAGCTAGGCAAGAAAATGAAATGACATCCAGGTTGGAAAGGAAGAAGTACAACTGTCTCTGCAGATGACCTAATTTTAAATTCAGAAAAGTCTTAAGGAAGGTACAAAAACACTAATAAATGATTTCAGCATGGTTACCGGATATAAGATCAATATACAAAAACCGGTTGTGCAGGAAAATTTAATGGGGGAAAGAATAGTCCTTTCAACAAATGGTCTGGGACAAGTGGATATCTACATGCAAAGAATGGAGTAGGATCCCTCCTCACCATATACAAAAATGAACTCAAAGTAGATAAAAGACCTAAATGTAAGAACTAAAAAAATTCTTAGAAGAAAATATAGGTGAAAGTTTTTGTGACCTTGAATTAGGCAACAGCTAATACACATGACATCTGAAGCACAAGCAACTGTGGAAAAAATAAATTGAACTTCATCAAAATTGAAGTGTGTTTCACAGGATGCCTTCAAGAAAGTGAAAACATAACCCAAATAATGGGAGAAAATATTTGCAAAACATAAAATGGATGAAATATTGTATCTAGAATATGTAAAGAACTCTTAGTAACCCAGTAATAAAAAGGCAAATAACCCAATCTAAAAGTGGGCAAAAGATCTGAACAATGTTTCTCCAAAACAGATGTACAAATGGCTAATAAGCACACAAAAAGCTCAATATCATTAGTCATCAGAGAATGCAAGTCAAAACCATAATGAGATACCACATCACACCCATTATGATGGCTGTACTCAACAAGACAGACAATAAGAAGTGGTGGTGAGAATGTGGAGAAATCAGAACTTGTACCTTGCTGGTGAGAATGTAAAATGGTCAATGGTGCATCTGCTCTGGAAAAGTCTAGTCTGACAGTTCTTCATAAAGTTTACACAAAATTGCCATGTGACCCAGCATTTCCACTCATAGGTATATATCCAAAAGAAGTGAAAACATGTCCACACACAGACTTTTACATGACTGTTCAAAGCAGCATTATTCATAGTAGCCAAAAATATGGAAACAACCAAAGCTTATCAACTGATGAATCAACAAAAGGTGGTATGTCTATACAATGAAATATTATTTGGCAATAAAAAGGAATGGTTTACTTGCTACAACATGAACAAACCTAGAACATAATGCTAAAACATGACATAAGATTCCTTTTATATGAAATGTCTAGAATAGGCAAAATCAGAGAGACATAAAGTAGAGTAGTGGTTACCTAGGGCTGAAGGGAGGTACATTGCTAAAAGATACAGTTTTTCTTTTTAGGGTAATAAAAATGTTCTAAAATTGATTGTGGGGGTGGTACGACTGTGAGAATATAAAAGCCATTGAAATTATATACCTTAAATGGATGAATTATATATGAATTACATCTCAATGTTTTAAGTAACGTTGTGGAAATATACAAATCATTAATGTGATCAGATTAATGATACTGAACATTGCATGCATAGAGAAACAGTATAGTTTATGCTGCTGGATAGTCTGTTTTTTCTTTTTAAATAATTGAAATTAAAGATTGTGTGATTGGTGTTTTTGCTTACATAATTATGAGCATTCTCTGCTGAAATGTTTATCTTTTTGTGTTTTAGGAATGTTATGTTCATAACTTACTAAGGATTAGTGTGTATTTTCCAACGTTGAGGCATGAAATTCTGGAGCTTGTTATTGAAAAGCTACTCAAATTAGATGTAAGTATTTAATAATGTTTTTTCCTTGATTTTCACTTTTTGTATTTTATTTGTTGTAATCAGGATGTGAAGCAATAGTAGCAACAATGGAAATGAAACCACAATTCTACTTCAATTCATTTCATTTCTTTGAACTTCATGATGTGCTGTAGTTGTTATCAGTCCCATCTTTCATGACAAGAATAAGGCATTAATTAGATAGTCACACAAATGTAAAAGTACATTTGTGGTAAATGCTATGAATGGTATACATGCATTCGGATGAACTAGAAACCCTGATACAATTGGAAGTCAGGAAGGCATTCCTCAGAAGTGATGTTGAGATTCTTTATACCTTTATTTAAAGAGGCCTGCCATGATGTACAGTGGGAGTGGAAGCAAGTGAAGTCTAGTGACAGTGTGGCGGAAAGGTGAACTGGTCCTTAAGACTGGGTTGCAAGTGGAAGGAGTAAGGGAAAGGAATCCTTCAAAGGTAGCTAGCTCCCTGTGGAGTAGAATCTTGATGTTGCTGTTAACAGTAATATGAGAAGTCAGGAGAAAGGTGGAAGGTGGTGTGTTCCATTTTGGATGGATTGAGGTACAAATGGGCGAGCTGGTTACTCCCTAGATGGTCACAGGTGCAGGTAGGGGAGTGAGAGCAAGCCTGGGGCATCTCAGTTTAGGACAGGAGAGAGCGAGCATGGCTACCTGGTGAGGATTTATAAGGAGGGCTTTGTCCAGCAGTGTGAGATAACTGCTGACATTCCTGGGAAGATAGAAGAAATGAAAGTCCTTGGATTTGGTGATTAGGAGGTAGCCTGTTGCTGTCAGTGTGGAGGGGGAAGTGCATTTCAGGAGAGAGCCTGGGTGGTTACGAAGTGGGCTATGAGAGGTGTTGGTGAGAGTTTGGTATAAAGGGGGGATGCAGCAGGGGTGAAAGGTGCTTGGGGTTGGGGAGACTTGAGTGTTTTGGACTGAGCATGCAGAAGCTGATGGAGAGAGTGTTGACATTTTAGGGGAGAGACTGATGATGCAGGTCCGGGAAGAGTTGGAGGTTGGCAGGCTGGCAGGTGGCTCACTTGGAGTCAAACCTCTGGCCAGTTGAAATAAAGTCTTTTCTCTGGTATATACTCACAGGACATTTAGGAAGAGGGTCATCTATAGATAGTAAAAAAGGTATGATTTGAATGGTATACTAAACAAGATGTAGTGAGTTTATATACCAGAATCAGTATTCAAAGATTCAAATTTGACTTGGATTTCATCATTTTTCTGCTCAGTTGATTGATGATATGTTATGGTCTTGCACATAGTAAGAGTTGGGAAAAGTGTTGGATTTGTTGAAGCTATCTAATTTAAATCAGCACACAACAGTTCATGTTAATTTCATAAAAGAATGTAGTAAAGAGGGCTTGATTTATAATCTTGTTAATTCCTTCATGACCCAGGCGGGTTTATAGGTTTGCACCATAATTGTGCATTGAGTCACAGTGATTTATAGGTGCTGATCTGGACACCTTTAAAGTATGTATATCAGATGTATTTTCAGTCCCCAAGAATGTAGCTGTATTTTAAATGCCTTATTCTTTTATTGTTTTCTTTATTATATTGTAGGTGAATGCGCCTCGACAGGATATTGAAGATGCAGAGGAAGCAGCAGCTCAAACTGGTAGTGGAAGAGATGCCCCAGAAGGACTGTTTAATATGGTCAGCATTTATTAATGAAAGCCCACATGTGCAGTTCCTAATTGCAGAGGGTGGGAAGAGACAGCTGATGGCCTCTCATCTTTTTCAAGGCTCCATCTTTTAGGTTAAAACAGTAGTTCAGCAAACTCGAGAATGATTTCTTAAATGAATAGTTTGCTCTCGTATTGCTTACTGCCCGGTAGAGTTTCTTTATTTCCAAGGCTTTGAATTTGAATTTGGGTTTGGGGAAGTATGTTTTATTTTTATATTTAATGTTTGTTTTTGCAAGCCACATATTGTTCATGAGGGACTGAGAACTAAAAAAGCGTATTGGCTTGACTCTGTGTTTTATAAGTTGTATACCTTAAGGCAACACTTTTCTACCTGGGGCAGTCTTTGTGTGGGTGCTCTGGGAGGAGAGCCTTTGGGACCAAGGGTGTGAGGAAGCAGAGAAGGGCAGGAAGGATCTAGGTGAGAGTGTGGCTTCCCTTGGAAGCAGCTACAGCCTCATCCCACCAGCTGCAGCTCATTCCATAGCTGAGGGCGATTTACCCCACAGAATTGGTCCCAGCTTGAGACCAGGGAGTTTATCAGTGAGTCTTTAGTTCTGATGGAGAGGGGCTGGAAGGAGGGCAAGGGCAGTTCTCTGGAGACGGGGGGCAGCTGTGAGCTGTTGTGGTCAACACAGCAGCTGGGAGTTGGGTGCCCTGTCCTGGGAAAAGAGGCCTGGCACCAGCAGTGCCCCCCACAGTGGATTCCAGGGGCTGGGCTATGTCTGTGGTGTTTGCACAGCCATACTCTTAAGTGGGTCTTGTAAATGAGAATCACAGGGGCTCTGAATCTGTGCTTTTATTTTGAATTTTTTACGTGGTTCTGTAGAACAACTCTGGTTGAGATCCTTCCTGGAAAGCATCTATTAGTACGTTTTTGTGTTGTTTTTTTTTTAATCTTTTAAAGGAAATAACCACCTTTGAGAGTTTTCCCACTAAACTACTCATACACTGGATTTTTTAACATCAATTTTTACTTTATCTTCACAGGATGAAGATGAAGAAACTGAACATGAACCCAAGGCTGATCCTGAAAGGCTCAATCAGATGGCACATCCGGTAGCTGAGCGCCTGGACATCCTGCTGGCTCTGCTTTTGTCCTACATTAAGGATGTCTGCTACGTAGATGGTAACAAGCTTTGTACATTATAGAATGTATTACAGTACAAAAATACTATACTACAGTGTAAAAATATTATAATATCTAGTACTGATAGGAATCTTGTAAAAATTACTATTTTGATTCAGAGGAAAAGAAGGCTTAGAGAGTATTACTTGCCACTGTAACATAGCTTGGAAATGGTGGGACCAGAATTTGACATTCAGGACTGGGTATTTGTCTCAGAGCACCTGATCTTTTCACTGACTATTGTATTAAAAGATAATATATGCAGTTTGGTCAGGCTTAGGAGATCAGATTACACTCAAGTTCAAGACACTTAAGAATGGTGTGGGGGACATCCATCCGGGGCGTGGTGTGGCATTGCGTGTGCAGGGTCTTGATGGCATGGCTGTGTCAGGTGCAGGTACTGCGGGACCGTATCCATGTGCTTTTTGCCCCCATGGGGCTTTCACTGTGCAGGTTCTGCCAGGAAAAAACAGCATTTTATACATTCAGGTTGCTAAGGTTTAAGAATGAAATTTGGGCCACTCGGATAGTAGGATTTGAATCTGAGTTGACTATGTCTCTATTTTGACTTTTTTGCTGTTGCAAAAATAACAGATGTTAGAGAAAATTTACAAACTACAGGAGAGGATTAAAGGGCAATTTAAATGGCCACATTCCCATTATTCAGAGAACTATGGTTAGCATTTTGATTTGTTTTCTTGCTGTTAGTGTGTGTATATGCATGTGTTGTTCAACAAATTTGGGGGTCATACTGTGCACTGTTTAATAATCTGCCTTGTTCACCTACTGTGAATATTTTCTCATACCATTCATTGTTCTGAAGTAGTTGTGGTTGATCACATGGATCTAACTGATCTGTTTTTATCCTCCCCCTTTTTTGCCATTATTATAAAATAACAGTGTAATAACATTCTTTTACATATTTCTTCAATTATTTGCTTGTGATAAATTCCTAACAGTAGGGTTACTGGACCAAAGGGCTTCTGTTTCACGAACGGTAAAATTGCCCTTTAGAAGGGTTCCTATTTAGGGAATCATAGCAGTGTGTGTTGGGGGAGGGTCTGCTTCCTTTCCAGTGCTGCATTATTATACTTAAAAAGGCAAATCTGTGCAAATAAAAGTGGCATTTTGCTTTAATCATAGCTGAATGGATGGTGTTGTGTTTCTTAATCGTATTGTTTTCTTTCTAAAAATTTGTTAAATGAAACTGATAGCTTGAAAATATATTGATAAGACTGAAATGCCAAATTATCTCTGTAGGTAAAATTGATAACAACAAAACAAAGGATTTATATCGAGATCTCATAACCATCTTTGACAAACTCCTGTTGCCCACCCATGCCTCCTGCCATGTACAGTTTTTCATGTTTTACCTCTGTAGCTTTAAATTGGTGAGTATGTATGTCATTACCATTAGCTTAGCTTATTTTATTCTTGCCCAGGTTTTCCCTTAAAAACTGGCAAGAGGGAGCAGGGAAAGGAAATCATAAGGTGACTAATTCTATTTCTGTGTTCATTCTCCAAGTACCTCTAATAAAATAGCATGCCCTTGTCTACCTAGGGAAAGTGGGGCGGGGGAGCACACCAGCCAATGCTCTGACAATGTCATCCTGCATTTTCCACTAGGTCCACTAGGTGATGCCGTTCCCTTTAATTCAAGCCTTTCTCTGTGAAAGTCTCACATGGGATATTTAACTGTTCTCTTTATGCACTCTCAGTTGATCTTGGGACAGTATTGATTATGGGTAAGAGGGTTATACTCAATCTGCCCCAAAGTATGTGTTAATAGTTTTGAAAAGGGCTATTTGGGAAAAGTTGTAGGTTATATTTTTTGTTAAAAAGAAGTCTAATCTGTCCTTTCTTCTGTGATTAGCATAATTAGTTAAACACCGATTGTACTTGAATCCACAGTTCTGTTTCTGATTAGGTTTACTATGTGCAAAGACTGGAAGGAAACTTTGCACTGTGAAAGGTACTGCAGGAAGGGTTCCCTTGTGAGCGTGGATTATCACGTTTCCAGTTCTGGCTAACCGTCAGAATCCCTTGGTACAGCTTTTAAAATAGGCAAATTTCAAAGCCTTGTTACAAATGTACTGAATCTGTGTGGTTGCTTTTGATGCCCGGCTAGTTTGGGGATCCATTGGCTAATTTAACATTGAGGGATGCTTTTTGTTTTTGGTAGTATAGTCTCAAGGTGTTTCAAAATATAAGAACCATCGTGACTACTCATTATTTATCTAGCAGCATAATTGAGATATTAGAACCTTTCCATATTGGTGAGCTATCGAAACCTTAGGATTTTGATAGCCAGAATATTTTAAGCATAAAAAAGATCAGACTAACACCTTCTCTTTTTATAGGGATTTGCAGAAGCATTTTTGGAACATCTTTGGAAAAAACTACAGGATCCAAATAATCCTGCCATCATCAGGCAGGCTGCTGGAAATTACATTGGAAGCTTTTTGGCAAGAGCTAAATTTATTCCTCTTATGTAAGTAATCTAATCTTTAAGTTCTTTGTCATGTTGTGCTTTGAAAAGATTATAGCACCTTCTCAAGTCAGAGAAATATCTGCCTTATTTCTTTGGTCTGATTTTAAAGTGAAAAAAAAAAATCTCTTCCCCTACTCTCTGCAGGATGATTGTACGTCCACGAGGCAATTTTGGAATAAAATGTCTCCTTTTTTAGATTTTAGACTTCATATGCAAAGCTTTTATCATCCGTTCTGTATGGTTGCACATGAACATGAAGATCCGTTTGTCTTCATGGATACTGTACAATGTTGTATACTGTTTTGATTCTTTTTATAGGTTTGTCATTTTTTGTTTGCATTCCAAATCAGTTGTATCTGTTAAAGCTGAAGAACAAATCCCCTTAAAGGTAATAGAAAGATCTATCTAGGAGGCCAACTCTGGGCCTTTTTCTTCCTGTGACCCATGAAGATATGTTTAGGCAAGGATATGATTAAAAACCCGCAACAACTAAAAGCTGTGTAGCCATTCTGTCCTAAATGGTTGACCACAGGACTTAATCAGAATCCCATAGGGCATAGTGAAGTCAGTCAGACTGTGTTTCCCTTGTAACATTGGTAAACGTGCCCTGTTCTTTGGCCATACTCCCTACAAGAGCTTGGAGGCCATTGGAGAAGCCTTTTTGAGTTGATAAGGAGAAACAATCTTAATACCTTGGGAACTGAGGCGTCTTTATGGGTGCTCTGCCTTTTAATCAGAAGGCTGTCTTCCTGCTCACCTGTCCTTTTTCCTCCTTCATTTGTGTCTCCTCTTTGCCCACGGATAATATGGGCTGACCTTTCTTGGTTTGTAATGAGAGACAATTGTGTGTTTTGATGTCACTCTGACTTTTTAATGAAGCAAGTGAAGTTGACCTGAATTTTTCTTTTCTCTAGTACTGTAAAGTCATGCCTAGATCTTCTGGTTAACTGGCTGCACATATACCTTAATAACCAAGATTCAGGAACAAAGGCATTTTGTGATGTTGCTCTCCATGGACCATTTTATTCAGCCTGCCAAGCTGTGTTCTACACTTTTGTTTTTAAACACAAGCAGCTTTTAAGTGGAAACCTTAAAGAAGGTCAGTGATTTGGAATTGATGGGTGGGAACTGGATTTACCTTGTAGAATGGGGATTCATTACTTTCCTGAGAATTTGATGGAACCTAAGGAGGTAGAAAACTGCACATGCACTGGAACTTTTACAGATAACTTCCAGCAATTTACATGCTCCTGGAAGGCCCGGAAGCCCCCTCTTTAGCAGTGGGTGATTGGAGGCTGAGTGCGCCCTCTCTAGAGTAACTGTCACATGGGAAGGCACTCTTCAGAGCAGAGGCTGAGCACTTGTGCTGTGTCTGCAGGGTGCCAGAGCTTTCTGCGCACCCGGCCTTGCTCTTGGAACTGCCCAGTGATGGACAGTGCCATTCCTGCCTTACAGAGGAGACCAAAGCGTGGGAAGCAATCTGTTGGCAGGGTAAGAAGTTGAAACCAGGTGAAGACAACTCTAAAGTATGTGGCCATAACAATTAAGCCCCTCAATCTAAAGAGTTAACTGAAGAAATTATTTAAAAACTCAGTTTTCAGTTTTGCCGTTTTCTAAGGATTGTTTATATAATTCAGATCTACTAAATGAAGCTTGTTTAGTGGGTTAGTGCATTTTAGTTGAAGATAGTCCCCAGGAACAATCTCAGTTAAATTGTTTTGTTTTCACGAATAATTCAAGTGGTTAATAGGCAGTTTCCCCTAGCGTTTCAAACCTCTGCACTGCTGACATTTTGGGTGGATAATCCCTTGTGGTGGGGGCTGCCCGTGCGGTAGGATGGCCAGCTGCATCCCTTGCCCTCTACTCACTAGACGCCAGTAGCACCTCTCCCTGCCTTCTACTGTGACAGCTGAAACTGGCCCCAGAGACTGCCAGATGTCCTCTTAGAGATACAGTTGCCTTGAGTTGAGAACCATAACTCTGAACTTAAACTTGTATGTTTCAGTTGTATTATACGTAAGTTGACCCTTGACACAACATGGGGGTTAGGTGTGCCGACCCCTGCCTCACTCAGTTGAAGATCTAAATACAACTTTTTTGATTCCCCAGAAAGTTAACTAAGAATAGTGTGCTATTGACCAGAGGCCTTAATAATAACGTACAGTTTATTAGCACATACTTTATATGTCACATGTATTATATACTGTATTCTTACAGTAAAGTAAGCTAGAGAAATTAAAATGTTTTTCAAATTGTTGCAAATGTCCAAAAATTTTTCCAATATATTTATTGAAAAAAATCCTCATATGGGACACTGTTGAACACTGTGTTGTATACTTGAAACCAAGGTAAGACTGTATATCAGTGAAAAAAAAAAAAAAGAAATCCTTGTGTAAGGGGACTCACACAGTTCAAACCCATGTTGTTCAAGGGTCACCTGTATTTACTTATGTCCCATATACTTTTTAAAAAGATAAGGGGTTAAAATCAATTGTGTGAACTAGTAGTAGGACAAGATTTTATCACAAGGTAAGTAAGATCTCTGCTTTTCTTTGTATAAATGTTAAGAGTCTTAGTTAAAGAGAATATGTTTCTTGCAAGCCATGACATTATCCTGTTTTTAGTTACTGTTATCAAAATGTACATCAGAGAATCTCCTGAGAAAATATACTTGAGCACAACTTTGCTTGCTTAACTCTTAAAATAAATATGCGCCTTTGTTTTACTGATCTGGGAGACAAGTGTAGTTATTAGCTCCAGGGCAGTGGGATCTGTCTAATTTTTCTTTTACCTCCATAGTTTCCTTATTAAAAAAACCCTGAAATATAAAAAAACTAATGCATACTTAAAAAACATGCTCAACTTCACTAATATATATATATATTTTTTGAGAGGGCATCTCTCATATTTATTGATCAAATGGTTGTTAACAACAATAAAATTCAGTATAGGGGGGTCAATGCTCAATGTACAATCATTAATCCATCTCAAGCCTAATTCTCGTCAGTCTCCAATTTTCTGAAGCATAACGAACAAGTTCTTACATGGTGAATGAATTCTTACATAGTGAATAAATTCTTACATGGTGAACAGTACAAGGGCATTCATCACAGAAACTTTCGGTTTTGATCATGCAATATGACCTATAAACCATCAGGTCAAATATGAATATTCATTTGATTTTTGTACTTGATTTATATGTTGATCCCACATTTCTCCTATTATTATTATTATTTTTATTTTTAATAAAATGCTGAAGTGGTAGGTAGATGCAAGATAAAGGTAGAAAACATAGTTTAGTGCTGTAAGAGGGCAAATGTAGATGATCAGATGATCAGGTGTGTGCCTATGGACTAAGTATTAATCCAGGCTAGACAAGGGCAGCAAGACATCCACGGATGCAGAAGATTTCTCTCAAAGCAGGGGGGGTGAGGTTCTGAGCCTCACCTCTGTTGATCCCCAAATTCTCACCTGATGGCCCCCCTGCGACTGTGCCTGTCTTAGGTTGTTCCTCCCTTGAGGAATCTTACCCGTCTCTGGCTAACCAGTCCTCTTCCGGGGCCATACAGGGAAATGTAAAGTTGGTAAGTGAGAGAGAAGCCATATTGTTTGAAAAGGTTAGCTTTTTACTTCTTTGCAGATTTATGCCCTGTGGCTTCTATGCCCAGCACTTGTCTCGAGGTATCTTTACCACCTGGAACTTCACTAATATTTTAAGATATTCCAGTCTTGTATTTTTTGCTTGCCCGTATATGTGGAATTCAAGGAGGAGAAATTCAAAATTGTACTGTCTTTACCTCTAGGGAATGGAGACTCACTTTGTTGCTTCAACTTCTTAGTGATTTCATGATTGTTGGGTGAAATCAAATCACATGGTCTTTCTTTTTTCCTCTATAAACTCAGCATATGCTCAGCTTACAAATACCTGAATTCCAGATTGTCATAAGCATATAGCCCACTAGGAGTGTGTGCTTCTTCCTGGATCTTTAATGGAATAAACTGTTTCTTTAGAAAAGTTCGCTTAGTCATAAATGAATGTGGGTAAGCCTAGTATGTTCTTCTGGGGTCTACATTGTGTGACTGTCTATGTGGACCTTTGTTTAAAGCATTTCTGCAAATAACTTAAAATCCTTTTTTTAGTGTGTGAAACAAACTGCTGCTTAAAGAGATCCTAGACTGTTTATGTTTGTAACTTAAAAAAAAATCTTTTGATTTAATCAAAGGCTTGAGATACCTTCAGAGTCTCAATTTTGAACGTATAGTGATGAGCCAACTAAATCCTCTGAAGATTTGCCTGCCTTCAGTGGTTAACTTTTTTGCTGCAATCACAAGGTAAATTATTTGTACTTTACTGGTAGAAGTTACTTAAAGTAAATTATGTTAGTATTAGTATTTGCAAAATTCCATTAAGTTTCTGTGAAATTATTCAATAAAATTAATAATGAACATTTAAAAATCAATAACCCAATAACTGCAGGAAAGTGCAGTGAAATGATTGTCCTTAATACTTTGGTGGTATTAGAAATGTTACTACTCTTTATTCAAAGAGAGTAATTCAACAGAAGCCTAGGTACTTTGAAATAGGTAAGGCAACTAGTAAGCTGAGAGGTACAACACAAAGATGTTTATTAGAGTGACTCCTGTGATAATAATAATAATAGACTGGACTTGAGAGAAATATACAACAATAGGAGATTGGTCTTGTGAGGGCCCGAATTACTGCAGGCTTTGTAGCTACAGCTAATGCATAGCATTTACTGTGTGCTCAGCACAGTTCTAAGCACTTTACCCAGAACTCACTTAATCCTCACACCATCCTCTGACTCTGTTGTTAAGCCCTGTTTATAAGTGGAAGATGGAGGCACAGAGAGGTAAGATGACTTGGGTGAAGTCAGCTAGACTGTGCAAAGCTAAAGTTTGAATGCAGGCAGACTGGCTCCTTTGTGAGCATTCACTGATTATTCTGCTTCAAGTAGAAAGTGAAATGGAGACCTTGAGCATTTAATCAGGATCGTCAGGATAGGATCATAGCTTAAAATCTTCAACAGATATGAGTCTGTTCTACTAGAAGACAAAAATAATTCTTTCATCTCTTAGTTCCCTTTCTTTACACAGCTTGCTCCTCTCATTCTGCAAGCTTATTTTTTCTTTGATGGGCCTCTAATTCAGGGTATTTCTGTTTCTCCTGAGATCTCACAAATGATAACAAAGAATTAAGAAAAGGAATAAACCAACAAGCAGTAGCCTTCAGTGGTGAAAGATGCCAGCGTGTTGCAGGAAGGCAGGCAGGAGTAGGAACAGATGAAGCAAAGCAGAGGCACCCCAAGTAGAGGGGTGCAGTTGATGAGCAGACTGGTCCTAGAGGCTCTAGATTTGGGGTTGGGGTTAGCAGCAGAGGTTGGGGTGAGATGGGAGACTGGGCATAAGAGATGGAAATGAAGGTTTGTGCCCAGGGCCTTGTGGATTCATGTCTGTAGCTGCTGCCTTTGCTTCCCTGACAGTCGGAGGAGATTCATACTGATTCACGCAGCTGTGTTCTGACTGGAACTGCTGCGTGATGCTCTACTGGTTATTGTTCCTTGACTCTTCCCTGGGAGTCATGCTGTGTTTGTTTCCCAGCATTGGGGTCAGCAGTGGAGTCACACTATTGTGTGTCCTGTCACCCAGAAATGGAGCTGCTAGGCTGGAGGGACATGCACAGCTTCAGCTTTATCAGTCATTGCAAATTGTAATCCAGTGAGGTTCTGCCAGTTTACCTTCCCACCAGGAGTGAGGAGTCAGATATGATCCTTGGCTGATGAAATAGCAATCGACCTGTGTTACTTGAAATAGCAGTTGTGATCTGAGAGCAAATATGGAATGGATCCCATGGGTGGGAGGTGGGAGGTGGGAGGTAGGGCGTGGCTGAAGTGGGCTAACCCCTCCTCTCAGAGAAGCCGTCCAGTGAGTGATCTTTCACGCAAGGTCATAGGAGGTGGCTGCCAGCAGAACTGAGTGTAATGGTCCTCTTGGTTTTTATTTAGTCCGTTTAACAGCATTCCCCCACTATGCCTGTTCCTTTCTTTGCCATTTTCTGAGCCTGTGACTCAGTCATCCCATGTCTCTCCCTTATTACAGTCCTATTTCTTCAACAGCCACTATCTCCTCACAGTATATCCTGAGTCCCTTTGTCACCAACCCCGATTCCCTCACAAACAGTAAAAAATAAATAAGTCAGCTGTATAGTTTTGCAAGCTAAGAATTTTGCCTCGAACACATTAATTTTTAGTGCGTTGTGCCTATTAATAATCTAAGCCCACTCTCATATTCTTTTTTCTTTTTATTAAGGTATCATTGATATACACTCTTATGAAGGTTTCACATGAAAAACACTGTGGGTGTTACATTCACCCATATTATCAAGTCCCTCACATAGCCCATTGAAGTCACTCACTGTCCATGAGTGTAGTAAGATGCCAGAGTCATTACTTGTCTTCTCTGAGCTATACTGTCTTCCCTGTGACCCCCCACACATCATATGCACCAATCATATTACCCCTGAATCCCCTTCTCCCTCCCACACCCCTCCCCTTTGGTAACCGCTAGTCTCTTCTTGGAGTCTGTGAGTCCGCTGCTCTTTTGTTCCTTCAGTTTTTTTTTTTTGTTATGCCCTACAAATGAGGGAAATCATTTGGTACTTGTCTTTCTCCGCCTGGCTTATTTCACTGAGCATAATACCCTCTAGCTCCATCCATGTCAATGAAAAGTTAGGATTTGTTTTCTTCCATTGTGTATGTGTACCACATCTTTTTTATTCATTAATCTATGCCTACTCTCATATTCTTAAGGTGATAGCCATATTTTCTTTATCCTTAGCAGACTTGTAAACAGCAGGCCTAGGGAGTTGTGCCCTAAAAGCATTCTCTTCTGCTTGCTGTCTGTTATTTTCTCGCATGCTGGTTATGTTGGGCGATATCTCTGTGGTCAGTATAGTTGACAAACAGCCATGTCCATGGCAAAGTAACTCCAGCGTCTGAATTACTGTTTGTGTTGGTGGTGTTGTTCTACAGTAAATACCAGCTAGTCTTCTGTTACACTATCATTGAGAAGAACAATCGCCAGATGCTGCCAGTTATTAGAAGTACAGCTGGAGGGGACTTGGTGCAAACCTGCACAAACCCGCTTGACACCTTCTTCCCCTTTGATCCTTGTGTGCTTAAGAGGTAGGTACTCTTAGACAGTCAACCTGTCAGTGGTGAATTTAAATCCGTGTGTTTGCTTTTCCCAAGATTGGGATTTGTTTATTCGCTTCTCATGGTCTCCTTGCACGTTTCCCGAGCCTGAAGCAGTGCGTGCCATCAGAGGCTGCTGAGTGCCATGGGCATGCTTGGGTTTGCCAATCTCTGCCTCAGTGGGCACTCAGATTGACGCCAAGGGCTTTCATTTACTTCTTGCTTTTCCTTAAACATATTAAGGGGCTGGGGATAGAGGCGCCCAGATAGGGAGGGAGGGTGCTGCCTATTCATGGCTCTGCCAGGTGACTCATTCTCTCTGCTGGAGACCACATCCCTTACTGTTGCACAGGGTAAACAAAAGCCAGTCTTGTATCTGGATGGGTAATTCTGAAAAATCACCAAGCCAGGCTTAACTTTGCATTTCTATACGGAGGCAAGATTCTTATCACAGTTTTTAATTAATGATATGACTGTTTGGGACTATCTGGTCCCCCAAGTCTTGGTTGAGTGAAACCAGATTGGTCTTTTTTCCCACTTATTTTTAGTAAATTACTATAGGAATATAAAAAAAGAATTTCCAAAATTTCATTTTCATTTGGGCATATTGTAACTCATTGTCAGTCTTTGCAAAGTTGAAAAATAATTTCACTTAAAATGAAAAGATGAGAAATAGTAGTTGTAATTCTCTGTCTGTGAGTGTATGTATGTTGGCACCATTCTTATTTGAACCATAGTTTTCCTTCATCATTTTGGGGAGTAGGTCTTGTGAGAAAAGAGCTAAACGTCTTCTGACTTTCGCTGTAGTATTTACCTTTATTTTGATCTTTTGTTGACAGGTCAAAGAAGTTCATTGATTGTATTTATCAGATATGGGAAGACATGAGCGCAGAAGAGCTTCAGGAGTTTAAGAAACCCATTAAACAGGTAAATTTGTGATTGAACACACTTTTTGGGGATCTCCGATGAGGTTATGGATTATAGTCAGATAGTAAAATAGCAGTGTTACACTTACAAAATACATTTTTAATTCTGCCTTTACAAACTTCCAAATGCAGGTTATGTTCTTGTGGAAAGAAGTTCTGGGTTTTTCATGAATTGTTTAAACCAGACACATCACAAGCTGACTTAGGGAAATGAAGGTTAATTAAGCATCAGCTCAGCAAGTTTAGATCTTTATCACTTGATCATTACCACCAAGTAACAATCTCAGATTTACTTGTGGGGAAATCATCCCTGAAGTTAACATTAATTTTGTATCCTTCAGGAGTAGGTGGTGAAGACCCAGGCCTGCAGTTCACCCTCCAGTGCCTGTCAGGTGGAGCTAACTGCCGGAGAAGAGAATTAGAATCCGATAAAAAATGTCACATCCGTTTCTAGGTGGCACATTTATTCCCACATTAAAGGCAGCTTTAATGTGCCCATCTCCTTTTTCATAAGGAATCATTCGAATGTTTATTTTTTGTCTTTACATTTTGCATTTGGAGGGAATCATTTGTTCATTCACATGTTGGTAGATACAGAGGTTATAACATTAAGCAAGGGTGAAATAGCATGTTACCAGCCCTCCTTAAGATTAAAATCTGTTAAAAAAAAAAATCAGACTTTAAATAGTGTGTGATGAGCAATTGTGTGGGTGATTCCTAATAAAGAAGTACATTAGGGGAAGCGTTTGACAATTTATTTCCTTCACCCTCAAATTGCCACTTATGATCTTTTTTGATCATCTCTGTTCTTTACACAGGAGGTGGTGGAAGATGAAGATGATGATTTTTTAAAAGGCGAAGTTGGGATTACACCCACCTCCTTTGACACACATTTCCAAAGTCCTTCAAGTAGTGTGGGCTCCCCACCCGTGTTATACCTGCCAGACCAGTCCCCTCTAACCGTGAGGATCTGTGATTGAAACAAACATTCCTCCCCATCTGGCCCTGCAGGACCAGGAGTCCTACTGTTTGAGCTTCACATTGAACTGGAGTGAGTACAGGCGTCCTGCTTCCAAGTCAGACCTACTCTGGTGTCTGTACAGACATGTTTGGGTTTTTGGTTTTTCCTTTTTGCTCCCATACAAACAAAAGGAAAAGACTGAATATCGTTTCAGTGTGCACTGTTTTACAGTGTAACTGATGATGACTGCTGAAGACTTGGTCTGTTTGTTTGATGCATACATTCTGTGTTACAGCTTTTTGACATAATAATTGTGAAATTTGTAATACTGGCAAGACCCTATTTTAAAAGATTGCATTTTTAAAATAGGTTTTTGTCAGCCATTGTTACAGGTCTTTGCTGATTTGATTTCTGTGAAAAATCCTCTAGGACACTATTTGAAGTCTTTAGCATGAGTTTGTTTTGAATACATTGTTTATCCTCCTCTGTTACTGTACCTGGCTTCGGGATGGCAGTGGGGTGCAGAGAGGACAGGAGGAAAGGGGAAAAGAGAAGGGGGATGGCCAGGGCTGGTCCCAGATGCTGAAAGTTGGAGCTGGCACTGAAGGACATCTCCAGGAACTTCAGAGTCAATAAAAAGCCTGGAGGGAAGAGAGAGGATTTAGAGAAACAGAATCGGACAAATTGTACATGGGTGAGTATAAAAATGAATTTAAAGAAAAATGGAGTTCCAGGTAAATGGAATTTATGTTGACTGAAAGTGCGGTAGAGCTTTTATGGGCCAGTGCACAGTATTGTACCTGGAGGTTCCCAGTAGTGCTGTAAGAACTGCAACTGCTTGCTGTTTGAAGTGGAATGTTACACTGAATTTTTTTTCTTATTTAACTAGAATCAGTTGGTCATCTTGAGAATTTCTTCACAGATGGTGGTGGGGTGGGTATTTTAGGGTATTTGGTGGGATGGTTTAGGCGGCAACAAGAGGCTGAGGTTACAGTTGCCGTCTTCGTGGATTTCTGCTTAGTGAAGTCCTCCTCTGGCGGGGCTCTTTTTGTATTTTTATAACTAAACACTGAGGGAGAGGAGTCTAAACAACCTTGCTTTATAACGAATTTGTGCAGGCACTGCTAAGAGTCATTTTGAAGTTCATGTACATTTTAGCTTCATTCTTATTTGTGTACTTCTTTGTTACTTGTTCATATGGACATCTTTAAACATATTTATTTTTCTGCCACTTTTCCTATTTATTTAAAGGCAGGCAGTATTTTTCTTGATCATAAATATTTTGTAATGAAATAATTTCTCTTTCCTAGGGCTTTGTATGCTCTTGTATAATTATATTGGTGGCAATGTAGGGTTCGAATTTCAGTCTGTAAATACGTTTTTGGAAAACATTTTTATTGCTTTAAAAAGTTTTGGATATTGGTGATTTTCTTTTGGTGACTTGGTGGAACCTTTAGGTTCTCCCTTTTTAACTGCTGAGAAAAGGGTGGGGTTTTTGTATACTGGATAAAATGAATGAAAATGTGTCCACAGAAGTTAATTGTGAGTGGGGTCTTTGTGGCTTGGGAAATAGTTTTAATGTAAAAAGATGTATTTACCAATGAGCCTGTTTAATTTCGAAGCGGTTTGACAAAAAAATCCATTGTGAAAATAGAACAATGACATGGTTAATCTGGAACTTTTGTTCTTATGTCAAGAAAGGGAGGTACCTCAAATAAAGAGGCACCTCACACAAATGTTCTTTTGATTTGTGTGTTTTTTTTTATCTACTGTGTTTTAATGCACTGTTTTGCAATAGAAAACACAAAAGATTTTACTGCATTTTTGTGTGATTGCAAGTGCTCAAAAATTAGTTTCATGTCAGTGATGAGAATGGTTTCCAGGTGCATCTGAAGTGTCAGTGATTCTCTTTGGTCACACCCAGGTGGGAGTGACTGAGGCTTGAACTGGTCCAAAAGAAACAAACACTTCTTCAAAAACTTTACATACTTTGAAAGAACAATGGGGAAAAAAACCTGAAATCTTGGAATTACATGAAACCAATTAATTTTCTGTCCCTCTTACTGAAAAACAGGCTTTTGATTGGGGTAGGAGCTCGAGGATCCATCCTATTGTCTGCTGTGACCAGTGTCGCAGTGTCAGATCTGGTTTCTCTTTCTAACCAGCTTTGTGACCTTGAGCATTACCTAGCCTGTCTCTGCTCCACTTGATTGAGCTGTGAAATGGGAATACCTACTGTAGGGTTGTGGAGATGCCATGAAAATACATGAAAAGTCAGTTACTAGCTATTAGGCTACCTTGTTGAGAAAGTTTAGTAGGGAGCACTTTCCTGAAAGGTCTTTTCCAGGCAAAGATAACCTCCATTTTATCCACATGACCTCGTTGGTACCAATTTAAGAAATCTCAGCTGGAGAGGAAGAGCGCTCCGAGCCCCTGCCAGGTGTTGCTTATTATGGTGGTTCTTAACTCTTGCTGCCTCCTAGAATCCCACTGGGAATTTTGAAAGCTAAGAGGAGGTGGAATGTAGATGTTGACATTCCAGTAGTTTTTGCTCTATGTGCGGTGACTTCTTGCCGGTAAAACTGCAGTATTTCCAGAATCTCTCACCAGGCCTTAGTGCAACTTCATACAATAGAAGAGTTTCCAAGCAGTGGAGAGAAGTCAATCTCCATATCAATAGGAAATTACTAGGGCGAGCAAGGGTTTACCTGGACTGGAGTTTTTTTATCTACTGTGTTTTAATGCACTGTTTTGCAATAGAAAACACAAAAGATTTTACTGCATTTTTGTGTGATTGCAAGTGCTCAAAAATTAGTTTCATGTCAGTGATGAGAATGGTTTCCAGGTGCATCTGAAGTGTCAGTGATTCTCTTTGGTCACACCCAGGTGGGAGTGACTGAGGCTTGAACTGGTCCAAAAGAAACAAACACTTCTTCAAAAACTTTACATACTTTGAAAGAACAATGGGGAAAAAAACCTGAAATCTTGGAATTACATGAAACCAATTAATTTTCTGTCCCTCTTACTGAAAAACAGGCTTTTGATTGGGGTAGGAGCTCGAGGATCCATCCTATTGTCTGCTGTGACCAGTGTCGCAGTGTCAGATCTGGTTTCTCTTTCTAACCAGCTTTGTGACCTTGAGCATTACCTAGCCTGTCTCTGCTCCACTTGATTGAGCTGTGAAATGGGAATACCTACTGTAGGGTTGTGGAGATGCCATGAAAATACATGAAAAGTCAGTTACTAGCTATTAGGCTACCTTGTTGAGAAAGTTTAGTAGGGAGCACTTTCCTGAAAGGTCTTTTCCAGGCAAAGATAACCTCCATTTTATCCACATGACCTCGTTGGTACCAATTTAAGAAATCTCAGCTGGAGAGGAAGAGCGCTCCGAGCCCCTGCCAGGTGTTGCTTATTATGGTGGTTCTTAACTCTTGCTGCCTCCTAGAATCCCACTGGGAATTTTGAAAGCTAAGAGGAGGTGGAATGTAGATGTTGACATTCCAGTAGTTTTTGCTCTATGTGCGGTGACTTCTTGCCGGTAAAACTGCAGTATTTCCAGAATCTCTCACCAGGCCTTAGTGCAACTTCATACAATAGAAGAGTTTCCAAGCAGTGGAGAGAAGTCAATCTCCATATCAATAGGAAATTACTAGGGCGAGCAAGGGTTTACCTGGACTGGAGAGGTTGGGTGGGGGCCTCTTCTGCAGCCAGTCGCAAGAGACGGGAGAGCAAAAGTGGACTGGACTGCCTGTAAGAAATAAACGGGTTTCTTCCACTTTATTCTCCCTTTGACTGATTTCGGTTTCAAAGGTATTTTGCCCCAGGATTTCCCCCCTCCCCCCACCCCGGAGTTACACTCCTCTTCATTTCACCACTATGACTTTGCAAAATTACTTTTTTGTTCATGTATTGGTAGCACTGGGTCTATTTGAATAATATTTCCAAGTTTTAGAAGAGCCCCTCAAGGCGAGAAGCCTCGCACCAGAGTACCTAACACTCAGTAGGGACTGCACGGCCTCTTGCTGACCTTGACTCCAGGGTCCTTAGCCCACTATGAGTGCCCACTGGATGCCAAGCCTCGGATGTTGCTTTCTAAACGTGTGGGGCTCGCAAAGTTCAGGCTCTATTTTCTCAGTTTAAGATGGTTTCATGTTTATTATTCTTTGAACACGATCTAATGGAGCAGCACAGCAGGTTCCCAACTCCGATAACTTCCTCGGGTCACTGTGCGAAGCAGAGCAGGTGTGACGGAGTCGAGGCCTTCGGCCGCACAGCTAGGCGCCGAGGGCGTCGGCTCTCGCGGGAAGTGCAGCTGCGCTCCCGGCCGCTCCCTATGCTTTCGGGACTGCGTTTCCCAGCGCCCCTTGCGGAGGAAGCTGGCTGTGGCCTCTCCGTCGCGGGCGGACTGCGTTTCCCGCGGCGCCTTGCGTCCCCGCTCCAGATTTCCTCCGCCTCTTGGGGCGCCGCGGCGGCGGCCGGACTCGGTTTCCCGGCGGCCCCCGAGGCGGGGCGCGGCGCGGCTGGGCTGCCCGAGGGCGAGGGTGAGGGCGGGAGCGACAGGCGGCCCGGGCCGGAGCGGCCGCCTCCGCAATGCCGCTGCTCGTTGAGGGGCAGCGAGTGCGGCTTCCGCAGTCCGCCGGGGACCTCGTCCGAGCCCACCCGCTTCTGGAGGTGAGCGGGGCCCGGGCGGGGGGCTTCGAGGTTGGCCCGGGGGGGCCTTCCAGGCGCACCGAGCCCTCCCTCCCCGCCGCCGCCGCCGCCCGCTCTCCCGAAGTAGGTGCTGAGCTTGGCCCAGCTGAGCGCGTGGGCGCCTGCGGCATCCGTGGAACTGTTAGTTCCTCGGGACCTTAGCGGGCACCTGCGGACGCCCCTTCTCCAGAAGAGGGGACGAGCCCAGAGATGTTAGGCGACCTGCCCACGGTCGCACAGCACCGCGGCTGTAGGACGGCCCGGACCCTGTGACCAGGCAGCGCGGTCCCATCCGGATCCGGACTTGCCCCGTGTAGGCAGAGCTGCGCGACCGCCCTTGCTCTGAGGCCCCCTCCCCCCCCCGGTGTCCCACCGCGGTGCACGCTGCCTTGTCCTCGGTGGGCAGGAAGCAGGGGGTTATCTCAGGGGGAACGTGGGCTTTGGCAGCGGCGTCCGGGCCGGGCCCGTACTCTTCTCCCGCGTTTCCTCGGGGCTGGGTCTCCTGCTTATTTTTAACCGGAAGAAAGGGCCCTCCGTGCCTTTCCCCAGCTGGGCAGAGCTGAGGACCACGCCCTGATGGAAGGGTTTTGTTTTGTTTTGTTTTGTTTTCCGGCTTTTGTTCTCAAATAGATCTTTGAACCCTTAGTTGATGCTTATGCACACTGTGTGGAAAGGGGTTCTTACCGTCAAAGAAAGTTGGGACCAGCCCTCCCACTTGCCCCAGATCCAGCTAAGGAGGAATTAATCAATTCATTGATTTAAGGGGTACATATTGAGTTCCTGGTGTATGTTGGGTACCGTGTTCACTTCTACCTCCGCAATCAAGGTATTTGCAGCGAGCTATAGCGGGGTTGGTTTTTAATAACAGAATGGCTCAAAAGCCATAAACTGCTCAGTGCCATAAAGAAAATATGTCCCTTTACACTCTGGGTTATGAAGAAGAGGCACCTGGCGGGTCTGTAGGCTTAGGGAAGGTGTCGAGATTGCCTGTGTAACCATTGCAGTTTGTAATTGTTTTGTGTGCATACTGTTTACCCTCCCTTGACCTGTCCCTCAGAGCCTGGGGCAGTCCTTGGCAATGAACCTGAGCTCTGTAAATATTTGTTACATAAATGAGTGAGCAAAATGTCCCCTGAAAATGACCCAAAGGATAAGGAGGGGTTACTGACAGGGGAAGAGGGGGGCAACTCGAGGTATTTCTCAACTTGCAATTCAAGAGAACAGTAGGGATATTAGGAAGCACACGCAGTGGGGAGCAGTGGCGCTGAGCGCTGTGTTGAGACAGGAGGCATTGTGCTGAGTACTTTCCTTGTCACTGTCACACCATTAACTAAGGAGGTCAGAAGTGGGACTCACCAAAGGAAAAAATTTCAGCTGCCTAAAGAATTTAGGTGACACCTTTTTAAAAACAATTCAAGTATAGTTGATGCACAGTCTCCTATTGGTTTCAAGTATATAGCACAGTGCTTCAGCAGTTACCCACACTTATAAATCCTCACACCAACTAGTGCAGTTACTCTCTGTCAGCACAGGAAGATGTTACAGAACTGTTGGCTATACTCTCCATGCTAAGTGACACCCGGTTTTTCATCTGTTTGCAAATTTCTATGATAAAAGATCAGTCTCACGGCTGCACACCAAGTGGTCCCATTTTACAGATGAGGACTGTGGGCCAGAGAGCTTGGGTGAGTTGCCTAAGGTCCACATCGTGGCAGCAGGGAGCCCTTTTGCCTCGGGAGCTGCACTGCTTAGTACAGTAGCCCCTGGCCACACCAAGTGGTAGGGGAGTGTGGTGACACACCAGGTGGCCCACCTTCTTGAAGGGAAGTTTGGCCTGTTTAGGGAGATGTGTCCTCGAAAGGCAGGGTAGTGGAGACCAGTTTGCCTTGCAGGTGGCTGTTTACACTGGCCAATTCAAATTAAGTAAAATCTGAAAATCAGTGGCTCAGCTTCACTGGCCACATTTCCAGTGCTCACCAGCCATGTCTGGCTTGCTGCTGCTGCGTGAGACAGCGGGGGCAGAGTGCATTGCCGTCGCAGGAGCGAGTCCCTCTGGGTGCTGCTGTCTGGGCCTTTGCTTTTCCCCGGCCCCTGGATGCTCAGTAACCAGTCCTGCACATCCTGTTCAGTGTTTCCACAGAATTCCACCCTAAGAATGTACCGCAACTGAGTTCCTGCTCTTAGGCTTGCAGGATATTTATGACCATTGGCCATTATGAACATTCACAGAGCTAAATCTTTATAAGCCCCTGTGATTGTTCCTACAAGTTCCTGGACTCAGGTTTTGTGAGCAGGAAAGTAATGTTACAAAATCAGTGTTTTGAAGCAGTGACACTGGTAGCCATCAGGGAGGACAGAGTGGGCAAGGGGCTGGGGTCAGGGTGACAGTCCCCCTGCAAACCTGGCCTCAGCTGACCCTCACATAGCCTAAGGAGTGGCCATTGCCCCCCCATTTGTCAGAGGAGGAGACGGGAGCACAGGGCCTCTCGGTGAAGGTTGGGGGTCCCCAGCCCCAGCACTGTCTTGCTCTGTATGGTTCACTCATAACCCAGATGGCAGGAACTTAGCCGTAGATAATGAAGGACTGAGGTGATGTAGCGCGAGTGGGAGTGGGAAGGTGGGCCTCAGTTCTGAGAGCTGCACCTGTTAATTGTTTCTTACCACTGTGCTGTGCAGATCAGAGCACTTTCTTGCTGCCCCGTCTTTGAAGGAAGAAGTGACACTGTGTAGCAGTGGGGAGTGGTCATCCTCGGGGTACATTTAAGTGATCAGGGATCAGCACACCACAGCCCCAGGCCAAATGTTGGTGGATAACGCATGAGCCAGGAGTGTGGCTCTTACATTTTTAAACAGTGGGGAAAACAAAAGAATAACATTTTGTGATAGATGGAATTATGCAAAATTGAAGTTTCAGTGTCACCCATAAATAAAATCTGGGGGGGACACAGCCCCCTCCATTTGTTTATGTGTTGCTGGACTGCTTTGAGGCAGAGCTGAGTGGCTGTGACAAGAGACCATATGGCCTGCAAAGCCAAACTAGTTACTCTTGGCCCTTTCCAGAAAAAGTTTGCCGAGCCCTGGTTCCAAGCGCAGTGCCGTTGACAGTGGCTGGGAGAGGAGGATGAGGGGTGGTAGGGGGTAACTAACAGGAAAGAGGGTCTTCAGTGCATCTCAGTGTCCAGAGAACATCAGGAGGAGGAAACAAGGGCTCCTTTCAGGAAGGATGTGAGTTCATAAAGTGGGACTGTGTTTTTCCACAGAGAAGTTTAGCTAAACTTTTCTTCCTTTCTTAAATTGGAAAACCAAAGCAACATACTGTCTTTGTGGCATTTTCTCTTCTGATCATTTATGTTTCTGCTTCTTGGGGAAAGAGTAGAAGCTGTGTGGTTGAGTGAAGCTGTGATTTTGGTCTGGGGTGTATGCAAGTGATGGTTCACTTCTCACCAGTAGCTTTGCTGTTGGGTGGGGACCCAGTTGTGAACCCCCTCCTCCTCCCACAAAAGAACAAAGCAAAAGGTGAGTATTAAAGGATGATAAAGAGGAAGTTCTGCTTTCTCCTTTACCATGTTTTGAGAAACGGTGAGCTGAGAGGTGGTGTGAAAATGGGGTACGCTCGCGGACGGGGTTGCTGTGGTTCAGCCAGCTGGCAGCCCTGTGTGTCAGACTCCCAGCCAGCACAGCTGCCAGGAATTCCCCTCATCCTTAGACTGCCTCTGTTGAGGGGCCGGCCTCATTCTAATGGCTGCCTTGCTCCCAATTAATGGAAGTTTATAAAAACAAGAAGACACTGGATAATTAGGTTGATCATTAAGTTTTTTTACATGTCCTGTATTTTGTTAACTAAGCACTAACCTAAATTAGCACCTGTCAATAAATGGTGAGATACCTGTGTAAGACTATAAAGATATTCTCCAGTCTAGACAGTACGAACACTCCTTGCATTTACACATTTGGATAGGAATGGTTTGTCGAGGAATTAATTTGTTGCAAGTAAGAAGGAAATCTATTTTAGTCTATTAATTTGACATTTTTGAAAAAAATGTTCAGTTTTCACTAAAGAATTTACCTGCACACTCTCCCCCACAACAGGTTTACTGTCCAGGAATTTATACACATATTCAGCTAGGTAAAATTTTGACTCCTACTGTTAACACAGCTTTCGGTAAGTTTGCTTATTTTTGAGGGTTTTGTTCTTTAGTTTAATAACGACGAGACTAAGGTCATAGAACGCGTGCAGAACGGGGAGATGACGGCAGCAGGGTCACTCACTTGTGTTTGTCCCTGTCACATAGCCGTGGTCATGGTGATGCATTACCTCCCAGGATTCTTTCCTGCATATAGCAGCATTTCACATTGCTGTATTACCAGCATATTTATAGCCTAAAAGTTTTTTCTTACGCTTTTGTATCTTGTTTCTCAGTGAAACTATTTTCAAGACTATTTCCCCAGTCTTCGTTTTCCATGACTGTGTGCTTAGCAGTTGTGGTGACTTGGTTCCACGTAATTGCTTCACTTTTCTGTTGCCACTCTGGCTTTCGCGCCAGTGTGCGTGTTGGGGACGAGCGCATGTGGAGTTCTCTCCCGGGCACAGGGGTGTGGGGCACAGCCAGTCGGAACCGCCCTTCCTCTTGACGGAGAGTTGAGAAGGAAAGGGACTTGGCATCTGAGCCACCTGCCCCCTCCACTAGTCCACATTATCTGATTGCCTTTACAATTCCAAAATTGTGAAGCGGCTCATCCTCTTTAGTAAAGAACTGTGAAAAGAGAGTTTTGCAGTTTATGTCAGAGGTACTAAAATCTTGTTTTTTAGTTTAAAAGAAGAACAGAGCTTCCTTGCTTCCTTCCCGTTGCCCACGCGGTAGTTTCTGCTGCCTCATTCCCTTGGCCTTTCTGTCCGTCCAGCGATACACACACCTCCCGCCTTAGGGGCACCTCCTGCCCACATCGCCAGTCACTCCATCCTCACTAATTTCCATCACTATTTTTTTTTTTTTTTTAATTAAACAGGAAAGAGCCAGACTTCTCAGAGGTCAGTCTGTTCAACAAGTGGGACCCCAGGGCCTTCTGTATGTTCAGCAAAGAGAGCTTGCAGTAACCTTCCCAAAGGATGGTAGGTTAGGAAGCAGTGAATTGGGCATTATCCTAAAAGGCTATTGGATATTTTATTTTATTTCTTTTTTAAACAGGCTCCATCTCCATTCTGGGTTCTGATGATGCCACCACTTGTCACATTGTGGTCCTGAGGCACACAGGTATGATGAGACAAACGAAGGAAACCATTTCGCACACTGGCCCCCCGCAGGGGTCTGTTGATTCCCCAACCCGAGTTTCCTGGTGTCCTGTGTGCAGCCTGGCTCTGCTCACCTCTGTCCAGTCTGTGTGGGCTTTCCTGCGGCCTGGTCAGAGGAGCTGGCTGGGCAGCACCGACTTCTCTGTTTTTTTCCTCACAGGTACTCAGAGAGGAGGCGGTCCTAGTGGACAGGAGTGGCACGCATTGCTCTCTGAGCTTGCGTTGGGAATAACGACTCATTCCACCCTTGTTCTCCAGGTAATGGGGCTACCTGCCTGACACACTGCGATGGGACCGACACGAAGGCTGAGGTCCCCCTCATCATGAACTCCATAAAGTCCTTTCCCAGCCACGCTCAGGGTGGAAGGTGAGCGCCACATTGCTCTGTTGGGTATCGAGAAAAGTGCCCCGTCGCATAAAGGACACATCTGTGGATGCTGTGCCACAGCGTCACCATCTTAGTGGCTGGCTTGCTCCCTGGAGCAGGACTTGGCACAGCACTGGCCCCTCAGTAGTTGTTGAGAGAACGAACTGGGTGCTGGGTACAGGCAGGGCAACAATGGTCCTGGACTGTAAAGGGAATGTTTGACTTTGAACCTGTAGTCTTATCTTCAGTAATTACCAGGAACTTATCTTTAGTAAGTTTCATTTTGCGTTAGATACTCACGTAACAGACGTTGCCTTGTTACCCCCAAGTGTGGGGTGTCCCCTGCAGCGGATACATGCTGAATGGGCCCTGTGAGCAAGCACTTGGAGGTGCCGAGGACAGAGGGGAGAACGGAGTAGACAAACCCGCCTTCAAGGGGTTCGTGTTCCAAAGCAAGGACACATTAAGCAAACTAGGACGTGAATGGTGGAAAGGACTGTGGAGAAGAGCAAGGCAGAGAAGAAACACAGGGAAGGGATGGGTGAGGGAGGGAGGGGCTGCAGTTTTGAATGTCAGTGGCCTCCCTGCAGAGCCGGTGCAGGAACTGGTTTGGGGCCATGCATGGCAGCAGGGAACCCTCTGGCTGGTTCCTGCCAGTGTGACCCCCTCCGCCTCGCGGGCCCGATACAGATCTAGCTGCTGCGGGGTCATGCTGCTGGCTGCCAGCGGCTCAGGCCTGGCTGTGCATCCAGTGCCCACACGCCTCCCCTGCTTCTCTCCTTGGGCAGATGGTGCAGGCACCGCCTCGTGGTCTTTGATGTTTGAGGCAGCCCCTGAATGAGCTAGTCCAGTCAGCCACAGACTGTTAGATGCCCAGGAATTTAATAAAAGCCTATCAGTTTCACTAGTGTAACACAGGTCAGTTTTTACATTTAGTTCTCTTTCTGCCTGGGTCTGTGACACAGGCGGGGCCCCTCCATGTGCCCCCGCAGCTGGCAGACGGCTTACTGTACACTGGGTCCCGCAGACTGCACAGCCAGACTGGGCCACAGCCCCAGCTTCACAGTTCTCGGACCGTGGTTGGAGGTCTGCCGGTCCCTAGAAGGACGGACTTGGTCACTCCGGAAGGTTGTCTGCAAGTCCTGCCCAATGGGCAAGGATGTCCCCCAGGGTCTGGCAGTGCTGTGGTGGTCGTGGCTCTGCCTGCTACTCAGTGTTTATTTTGAGGCCATGTGATACTTTGCCCTGTGCTGTTGCAAAGAAGCTTCTGGTTTGTTCCTCAGGAAGATTTTGTCTATTAATAGGCAGTATGAAATACAGCCCCACCTCCCCAGGTTGTCACAGGCTGTTGACAAGGGGTTTAGTGGACAAGTGTGGGAAACAGGGTGGGGCAGTTGGTTTTCAGTTGTTGGATGTCTTAGATCTTTGCTGGGCTGATGGGCACGAGACTGTCCCTAGGAAGCTCACGGTGGGCAAGGCTTCGCAAGCTTATTTCACTGTTAAGAAGTTCTCCACCTCATGTGGCTGATGTTCAGGAACACAGACTTCAGGAAGAGCTGGTGTAGTGGGTAAGCCCAGGCCTTAGAAACAGACCCAGCTTCCTTATCTTTGAAAAGGAGATGATTCTGCTCTCCAAGACAGCTGCCTAGTAGGGGAGACAGCACGTGTCCAGGTCCCCTTCCATCCTCCAGCAAGGGCCTGTCACCAGCAGAAAGGCCTGTGTCCCTTCCCAGTCGTCTCCCTCAGTGCCTCGTAGGCTGAGGCGTTTACAGAGGCTTTTGGAAGTACCCTGCTTCCAGTGGGAAATAGTGTGATAGACTGTTCCAGAGTAGGATTCCTACCCTCTGCCTCAGGCAGCACCATGTATGTGTTAGGAGGTAGGTCCCCTCAGCCCTCCGGCATCTGGGCCGGGTCCCCAGCAGCCTGCCAAGCCTCCGCAGCCTCTCTTGTTTCGTTTGGTCCCTGTGTGCTGCACAGATACCTTCCATCTGTGCCGTGGCCTGAGCAGGGCCTGCAGGTGCTTTGCAGAGCCAGGGCTCACGGAGGCTGAGTGCAAATTCCAAGTGCAAGCAGCGTGCACCTCTGACCACTGTCCCATCTCTTTGGCAGGCTGGAAGTGCACCTCGTGGGAGGCTTCAGTGACGATAGGCAGTTGTCACAAAAACTCACCTATCAACTTCTTAGTAAGTTCAGTTTTTTCCAAAATTCAGTAAAAATTCTACCTATTGTTGTTTGGATGAAAATCACAATTAGTATAAGACCTAAGAGGAGTAACATAAACTGCTCAGCTTTCTAAAGACTCACAGGCTTAGAGCTAAATTTTCAGGGGCTAAGGTTAGGGGGACAAGATTTTCTTTTAAGATAGCAGTTGTCGCATTCCAAAATAGGACATGCTCTGAGTCATGTAACCAAAGACCCTTCTAAGCAAAAGAGTCCATTTTAATCAGCATTTTTTCCCTATTAGCAAGTATTTTAGGAAAAAAGGAGATTGTTCTGTGTTAATTAGCCACGAGGTAGTGAGGTGGGCATATTCACACAGTGCCGGAATATACATTGGTGCAGCCTGTCGGGAAAGCAGTTTGGCATCACGACTTGTCTCGAAAAGGTTCCTACTCTTTGACCCAGTGGTTTCCTTCTGGGAATCTTTTCTAAGCAAATAATCTGAAATGTGCACAGAGATTTATGTCCAGAGATGGGCAGTAGGATAATCTAGTGTCTATTAGTAGAATAGTAGTTCTGTAGCCATTAAAAAATAATACTTATGAAGAGGTTTGAATTATGGGAAAATACGTATGTACAAAAATATCAGGATATATTATAAAATTTTCTACCTAATATAAGCTCAGCTGTGCAGAAAGATATGGAAGAAAAAATATACTGAATGTTAACTGCTAGAATTATGGGCATTAAAAGCCCATCTACTTACATCATTAAAAACTCATGTACCCCTTATACTCTCCTGTATTTTCCAAATTTTATGATGATTTTCTCTGAGCATTAGAGAGAAGAGTTACTTAAGAGTAAAGAAATCCTATGAGTCAGTCTGTCCCTCCCAACTCCTCAGAGTGGACAGAAACTGGAACGCCTTGGCTGCAGTTGCCTTTGGGTTTGAGGCTGGGAATGTGTCAGTCACTTGCAGACAGGATTCTGCAGCATCAGGTCATGCGGTCTGGTCTCTAGATTGCCAGGTTGTGGCCAAAAAGTAGTGGGACGGATCTGCTGGCTCCTGTCCCTCCGTCCCCTCTTGACTTGCTCAGTTTTGCTAATTTAAGGAACTTTTTTGACATTCAGCTTTAAAATTCTAATTGTAGGTGAATTTGACAGACAAGAAGAAGACATTCACTTAGTGACGTTATGTGTGACAGGTAGGTTCCACCCTCTCCCAAAACAAAGTGGTAGCTTTCAGGAACTTCTGCCCTCGCTGGTAGGAAGGGATCTAGCATCAGCCCATCGTCGGAGACACAGTCGGTCAGTGTGGCTGGCTGTCCCACTTGCCCATCTGCTGTAATGGCTTTCCCCTCATTTTGCAAGTCCAAATCCTGCTCAGCCTCTTTGAGAGCCTGACCCCCTTCAGGGCAACTCATCTTTCCTTCCTTGGGATTTTCAAAAGCCTCCTCTTCTCCTGGAAGGACAGAGCCCTGTGGCTGTTGCCGAGTGTACAGGTGGCAGGGGCATGAACTCTGGAAGTGGCCGTTGGTTCAGTACAGACCTAACTGCCCTGGGACTCAGCAGGCCAGTGGGGAAACTGACTTTTTCATTTTCTGATTTTCCCTCTCTTTTGCAGTGGCTTCTAGCATAGAAAGTGAAAGCAATTGCTTAGTTCTTAAAAATTAAGTCTTAATTTTTTGTTTTGTTTTGTTAGAACTAAATGACCGGGAAGAAAATGGAAACCACTTTCCAATAATTTACGGCATTGGTAAGCAGTATGTTTCCTTGATGGTTGGGGGCTGGTCATAAACAGAAGGTAGGCATTGGTGAAAGGCCAGTGCAGCCAACTAGTGAGCCTGTTGCTTCAGTACAGCACAGGCCCTAGGTTTCAGATCTATTTGCTCAGGGGCCCTGGATGAGTAGCTTTCCTTCTCTAACCCTTATCTACAAAACAGAAAACTTCCAGGTCCTAAGCAGCATAGTGTCAGAGACGCTCTGCACTCCTGCGACTGGCTGCGCCTTCTCCAGCCAGTGCCCTGGGGCTGGGGTGAGGCGTCTCCTTGTACACAGGGAACCAAGTAAGGTTTTGACTGAGAACAAAGATCCTACAAAGGAAGGCATAGAAATGTCAGGCTACAGTAAACCAGAGCCTTCCCCTCTCCTATGACAGCCCCTGGACTCCTGAGGATATAGGGTGAAACTGGCTGTCTGCAGAGGGCTTCTACCATATCTGTGACGTTTATTTAGCTGGGTGGTGGGTACACAGGTGGTGTTTTAATCTCCATAGCTTTGTACTTGTCTTTAATAGTAAAAATTAAAACCACCAGACTTGGCACACTTCTACCCCCAGCCTTTGCAGACATGTCTGGTCACAGGGCTGAAGGGAGGCTTTGCCTCGCACCTGCCTGCAGAGAGGGTATGCTTCTCACGTGCGGGCGGCTCTTGGTTTGGAACAGTCTTACCTAGTCCAGCTGAGACCTCAGTTATTCTCACTGAAAGTAGCTTTTTTTGAGATGCTTGGCTAAAAGGGTCACATTTTCCCATTCAGGGTAGGTGGTGGTGGAGAAACTACAGACAATAGTTTTTGTTCAGTTTCTATTCTCATTTTGAAGGAAACTCATCCATATTCTTTTTTTATGGTGGTGGTAGAAAGGTAAGAGTGTAAACTTTCCATTGTGTCTTTTGTCAGTTCACAGTCATCCTGTTCTCTCTCACAGCTGTCAACATCAAAACTGCAGAGATTTACAGAGCTTCCTTCCAAGATCGAGGTCCAGAGGAGCAGCTGCGTGCTGCACGAGCTCTAACAGGAGGACCCGTGAGTTTGAATCATCTGTGTGTTAAGGGGTTAAGGAGGAAAAAAAGGCATCAGAACTCCAATTCTGTAGACCTTAGGAGTGAGGTTTATGTCAGGGACCACCACATTCTCTCTCTCTCATGTAGAGGAATAATGTGTAATTTGGTTATAAACTCAAGACCCTAGTTGTCTGTCTTGAAGGTAGAGAGAGGGGTAATGTGAACCCCCTGCATCGGATCCAAAGAGAATGAACCCTCTTGGAGGTAAAGTTCCCACAAAGGAAGGAAGCCGGAGCAGGAAGGGGGACCTAGTCACTGGAGAGTGCTGTGCTAAGATGTACCCTGATGACCTTAGGCTGCTTTTTAAATTCAATAACACCTTAATTTTAAAAGATAGAAAAATAAAACCTAAGTCATACGTGGAATGGATGAAAGAATCCTTAGAAATGCTTAAAGTTGTGGGAAAATAGAAATAGGATTCAGAGCAAAAGAAATCTCACTTATGAAATGCTGACATTTGCATTGGAAAATAATGCTTGGATGCAGTGATCCATTTCGCCGACCCTTTCAGGGGTCCTTTTGTAGTTTAGTAACCTAATAGCTTTGATTTGGCTAATATGCAGAACATACTTCAGTTTCAGTAACCAAAATTGAATATTGCTGGTTAAGCTGAAAACTGTTAGCTAATTTGGAAATACAGGGAGTTGATCATTTGGCAAATCAGCATTTTTACAAATTGGTCTTTTGATCTGCATTGTGAGCTCTTAAGTTGCAAGGCACTTAGTTGCTTGGGTATAAGTAACAAGGCAGTGTTTTCCAATGTGATGAGAACTGTGGACTTCAGAGAACATGAAGGTCTGAGGTCAGCTCTGATGCTTACTTAAGTGTGACGGTGGGCAACCAGGATGGGAAAATGACATTTTCCTGCAGAATAGGGGTCAGGATTAAACAAAATAGTGTGTTACCCACAAAGTGCAGTACCAGACACATTGGAAGTATTCAGTAAGTAGCAGCTTTTGCTATTAGGAGACAAAATTTTAAAGCAACTTATCATCCAGATAAATCCCTTAACTGTTAGACCACACTGCAGCCTGCATTAATGGTAGGGTGTGAGATGCTGGTAACATTCCTTAAGTTCTATCCTTGAAATGTTTTTTAGATGATTAGTATTTACGATGCAAAGACAGAGCAGCTTCGTATAGGACCGTATTCCTGGATGCAATTTCCACATGTGGATTTCTGGTTGCAGCAAGATGATAAGCAAATACTAGAGGTGAGAATTTACAGGTTGGGTAAAAAAATCTCTTGGACCCTGGTTTCCTCATCTGTAAGAAAAAAAGGATTTAGACTAGATAATAGCTGCTTTTCCTTCAGTGAGTGTTATTTTTATGATGCCACTGGCAGACCCATTTAACTTCTATACAAGGGATAAGTAGTATCCTAGACAGACATTTGCGTAAGTGAAATAAGCATCCAATGGCTTCTTTCCTCATTAATCCAGTATATCTCATTTCTTATGTAATATTACAGTTTATATGTTTGTATAGTGTCTGAAAACATACACAGTTTAAGGAACACAAAGATACTTTAGCTAATGTCTTTATCCAAGTAGGGATCAGAGCAAGGTTCTTCTTTCATGCCCCAAATCTTGTTTTTCTAGAACCTTTCCACTTCACCTCTGGCTGAGCCACCCCACTTTGTTGAACATATTAGATCTACCTTGATGTTTTTAAAACAATACCCGTCTCCAACTAATGTGCTCTTTCCTGGAAATAAAGCTCTACTCTACAAAAAAAATGAAGATGGCTTATGGGAAAAGATCTCTTCTAGGAGCTACCAATAGGAATTACCAAAGCAAGTGGCCTTCTGGCATGACAAAGACCATGGTGGGGGTTGGAGAGAGTTCATATTTAGAATGTACGTCTGTTAAGTCTTAGGTCTCCCCCCTTACATCTTTCAAATGACTTTCATTCAGATAACTTTAAAAATAAAATCTTATTTTGGCAAAGACATTTGTTCAGGGTTTTCATTTACTAAGTTGATACCCTGCTTTTTTTCTTTTTCTGGTTAGTAATAAGGGGCAGAGAAGCCACCTGTCTTACTGTTCTATAAGCAACTATTTCAAATATGCAGGTATCTTTGATTCTGCAAATTAGTGAATAAAAGAAAAAGTGTAAGTTAAAAAAACACTGTTTAAAATGCAGGGAGAGTTTATATATACTTCTTGGCCCCAAAATACTTCAGAAGCATTAAATCCAAAACTGATTTTATATCTATGTATCTATACTAGATGAATGAGTGAGTAAAAAGGTTCAGAAAGAAAAACAGGGTTCTGTCTCATGTTGTGCAATATAATGATATGCTCTCCTGTGAGACTAATTTAACCTGTTAGACAAAGCCCTGATAAATCTGGTCTTTTAGGTGTAAGGTCATTCAAATGCCCAAATTGTGATTATTATGCAAGTTGTATTTTTAGAAACCTTTATTTTTCTGAAGCCACTATCCCAAAGGACATCACCTTGCCAGATTCATAGTAAGACTTAAAAATTGAACTCACTGGTAACAATTTCAAGAACCTTTATTGAAACCAACATTCAAATAGTATCTCAAGGGTGAAATTCTGTTTCAGCAAAACCAATTTAACAATTCCAAATATATATAAAAACATCTAAAAATTAATCTTGTTAAAGGTGATAATTTCCCCTTTCCCCGTTTTATCTGCTGTACTTCATTGCACCAAATAGGGGAGACTAATCATCTGCACCAAAACAAAAAAAAAGGAAAGTTGCATTTTGACAAGTGCAAATGTCAGAATCACATCAAATCAGAGTGTGATTATAGGCTCCATGTGGTGTGACTAACGCTTCCATGGCTGCAGCCCACAGGCCCCATGGGAAGGTCCCCTATGGCCGGACACTGTGGGACTCAACCACACAGGGGCCACCACCTGTGACTAATGAAGAGCTGCAGGACTTCTGGAAACATAGAGACGGGCAGTAATTAAGGGCTAACTTCCAGTTATTTCAGCAGTAGTCTGGCTTGAGCAGCCTAAGATTACTTTTCTGGTTCTTGTTTCTGACGTGGGCCCAAGGGGTGTGCTGCTAGAGGAACAGGAGCTTGGCGGCTCCCGGGTGAACCAGGTTGGAGGGGTACTTACTGGAGAATTTAAACTTAACCAGGTGCTACACGCATATTTAATGTGAGGCTCTTAAAAGTAGCATCTATCAGCTTTTCAGATATTAAACATAGAAATGAGCAGAATCTGTACTGTGTGCCAATTTAAAAGCTTTACCTGTATTTAAAAATATACACACGTGTATATATATATAT